TGTATTCAATATTCTTTAATCCTCTCGAATCCCGAGCATTTTCCAGCACAATTTTTTTTAAATATCAGCTTCACCACTTTGAGTGGGTCCGAATTCATTCCCAGTGGTTCATCTACTTTCCTTCGTGTCAACACTTCTTTAAATCTGAATTTTCTTGTCCAACGAAGTTAATGTTGAATAATCCATACAATTAAAATTTGCACGCGGTACAACATTTGCCACTAGTGGTTAAGGCTCCCCTTTCCAACAACCTATTACATTTTTATAAAAAGGAATATTTTCTGAAACATGGAATACATCACTATGTGAAAACAAATAAATTTATAGTCATATGAAATGGACGAGCAGGATGCCGGAAAATGTAATAAAATGATTAAAAAATACCATAAAATCCCACCAGCTGAACTAATCTGAAAAACTAATCTGGACAGATTGAGGGATGTTGATGCAACCACTCTAATACAAGTACAGAGGTCCATAATAACAAAATAAATCATGCCCGAGTTCCTGAGTAAGTAGTAAAATACGATGCAGAAACCAAAAGTCCAAAAACCTTCGGTGCGAGGAGCATGTATCACGTGAGACAACGTGCACAAAACCAATATTTAATGGAAGACTTCGGGAGAAAGACTCGCTTGCATGGGAAGACAAAGGCCTAGTATACCAAGTCATGCCCTCTTGAGAAGAGATTCTTATTCAGACCATTATTTTTTCTCATGCACTCCTCACCATGCGCATGCAATCAAGAGGAAGGCTTTTTCTCAATACCATTGCCATCGACGCCTGCTGTGAGAGGAAGTCTATACATGCACACGATATGTCGACAACCTGAACAGACACCACATCTTGGCATATTCTGGTTACAGCATCCCAGCCTTTAACTATCAAATGCTGCATTCAAAGAAGAAGGCGATAGTGATGGAGAAGATGGTATAGCGTATGAAAAGTCTGCATTCACGGCTTAAGCAGATCTCACAATCGCCGCAAGTGCTCATCCCCTTAGCTGAAGAGCTCATGCTACCTTAAGGTAACCAGTGCATTGCCCTAGAAGTGGACATCATGATGCTCAGAAAAACAATTCGCAGACAGCTAATCATCGTGAAAATTTTAGGCGGAAAGGAGTGCAAGAATCCGTGCAAGAATATTTCACATACCAGACTCGATGAAATGAGAGAAGAAATTGAAAACTCTGCATCACAGGGTAGTTTCATGAGGGAAAATCACATATAAATGCATGCAGCAAAATTTAAAAAAAAGAGAGGGGAGGGTCTTGAGACCCGGAGCAAACTCAGCTTAGCTCATACTTGTCACGCAGTATAAATGCATTGATGCTACTTTTCAATAAGATGAAGAAATTCTGCATTATTGAAAACAAGAATAATCTTTCCCAAGTTTTTCTCTCCGAACATTATACGAGGGGTGATCGAAAAGTTCCAGGACTGAATTTTTTTTATGACGGTGTGGTGACTCTTACCTGGGTATATAGGTGATGGGTATATCCTTCAAATTAATCCTCTTCGGCATCTACACAATTTCTTCAATGTTTCTTCAGCCGCTGGAATAATATTTTTGGGGGATCTCTTTTTCATCTCTTTTTCGTCTTTTGGAATCACCAGCAGTGCTCGTGATGCGTTCGTAACTCTGCTTCAAATGTCCTGAAATTTCCTTCCTTTTTCAATTTCAGCAGTTTCTGACTTACGTCTGACCTACCCACTAACCCCCGTGCTTCATAAGCCATCCAACTCACCGGACTTAGCTCCTAGTAATTTCTAGTTCCCTAAGCTAAAGAGTTTGCTGAAATGAAGGAGATTTCAGGCATTCAAAGCAAAATTGTAAACACGACGCGAGCACATATGAAATACATTTTCGGCGCAAGTCCCTTGCCATATAAATTAAAACATCAGAATCGTTACATGAGATAGAATAATAGAAAGTCTTCCTTTAATGTGAGAAACCCTCATTCACTCAACTTCCCCAAATACGTTGCCTTCCCAGAGAACGCCTGTCCTTGTAGTCAAAATTATGTTTGGGGAGGGGGAACGCAACCACTACGATCTCCTTGTTTTCAGACTGAAACGTAGCGCGGCGGTTTTTCTTGCTTCATCGCCTAGTGATGAAGTCCGACTTAACTTGGCGAAACGATCGAAACTTATCGTCGTCCTCCACCAGAACCGCATCCACGGTTCGTTTAAAAAAAGGATAATTTCCACGCATCCAGGAGGATCTATTTTCACTCCTGGAATTCCCTTTTCTCTTTAACCAGTCGTGCGAGATGTGCGAAAATGGGACCATGGAGCTATGATCAAGGGCATGGTAGGGGAGTCGCTATTATTTGTTTCTACCATCAGGGAAAATCGAGAAAGTGTGTGTTATTGATTTCAGGAAAAATCCTACTTTTCGGGAAGATCCACTGGGAGCACGCTTTTTGGGAAAGGGACGCCCGAAATCTTTTGCTCCAGAGAAACGGTCGTTACAGTTACATTACAAAAGATATTGTAAGAAGGAAAAGCTCGGGAGGCAACGTCTAGGAAAGTAACATTCCACCCCAACCTCCCCACCCCAAGAAAAAGCAGCTTGAAGAAGAGTTCCGTGAAGTATGCACTAAAATTAAATATTTCCACGTTTTACATTTCCTTCCAGGAATACTTCCTTCCAGTAATAATGCTCTGATTATCTTTCAGCACTTAAAGTCTGGGTGGGAAACATAGGATTTAAAAATCTTCTTGTAAAGGGCTCTTAAACTCAGAGTGCTTTCGCTTCCTCTTATTCACAGAATCTTTTTTTCTTCAAAGAATCCTATCCGAGCTTCCGAAGTTCTTAATCCCCCTTCTATTTGACCGAGAGGGTTTCCTGTTCTGAGCCCGATAGATGTTATCGTGACACACGCCTCTCTCCTACATGAGGCAAATTCAGAGTGCTGACATGTTTTCGAACAGGAAAGGGTATGTCTGTACATATTGCGAGGCATGAAAGTTCCTTATCGATAGATTCAGCTTTCTTGAATGCAGGTCACGCCGAAGCTCACAACCAGTTCCCGTTCTTGTGTTTTCCAAAAAGAGTTCAGATAACATCTATCGTGCAGGGGAGCTACTGGCTTTCCTTCACCCTTCCCCTACTTCTTCCTCTCCGTAAATTCCAGAAGTCAATTATAGATACCATGAGATAAAAAAAAGAAGCTCCCTGCCACAGTGTATTGCTTCCTCGTGATTTTCTAAATAATATATTTATTCCTTTATGAATTTAAAACATATGAAACAATGCTGTATCTGCGCAAAATACAAAACCGGAAATAAATGACCTTTCGAAGGTTAGATCGTCACCTGTTATTGTAGTGTCATGGTCGATGCATTTTCTTCCTAAGCAACCCATTATTTCACGGACGAGCGGTGAGAGCGAAAAAATTGAAGAGATGTTCGGATTCTGCCGTTCGCACTTGACTAATTTGCGTGGATCATGGGTTACGGGTGAAAAAAAGACCGACAGAACAATTGGAACAGGATGTCCCTCTCAAGGTCTCTCGGCACGGAATAGCTCCAAGGTCACGACATTTCCACCTATTGATGGACACGCGTGACATTTGTAGAACCAAGAATCGGATCCCATCATTACGCCTGGAATTATGGGCGTGGATACCGCTCACGAGAAACCGCAGCACAAATGTTCTGCCTGCTAAATTCAAGTCTATTTGAATTACTCTGCTCAAGCTCGAAGAAAATAGCATCTAAATTTAATGAAACTTAAGTAATGCAACGATCAGTCAATTTCTTAAAAATCCGATGTTTTGGGCATTCGAGTTAAAGAGAAGAGGAGAAATAAAAGTATAAAACAAATTAGACCAGATGTCTGGTCTAATTTGGTCTGGCTCACTAAAGCAAAGTTTCTGCCGAGTCACTTCTTCTCATAGCACCCTCTCCCTCCCCTTTCCAGTAAGAAAGTCAGGTTGTACCACTGCTGCGACGTCACAAATTAGACCATCCACGGATCCAAAAAGCGGAAGGATACGAAAGGCGTCCAAAATTTAAGCTTTAGAAGTGATAAAATGTACGTATAACAAACGCACGCATGTGAAGGCAAAGACCAGTTTCGGATTGAGAATCTTGGATTTAAAAAAAAAGGACATAAAAACAGAAATAGACGTTTCCGGTCGGGAATAATAGGCTACCCATGGTACCGACGTTCCGCTTCATTCTTCATTGGCTTTCCATGGTCATGGCGAGTACCTCCTTTAATGGCATTTTTGCATCGACAATATACACGGGATGATCCCCATGACGATTCCTAACCAGCCGAAATGACCCTCCCGGTGTTGATAAAGCCATATATTGACATTATATTGACGTGACGAAAGCCACTTGAGAAGCACAATTTTCCCACATTTTCTCGGCTTACTTATTTGGAAAGAGCAAATGGCGCCGGACCTTGCACTTTCCAGCCGTGCGGAAGCGGAAGCAATGTCACGACACGGGTAGCACAGGTTTCTCTTTATACTTACATCCTCACTCTGGAATTTAAATCCTTCGAAGCGATAAGAGATTCTTTGACGTATTTGAAGTGAGAGATGACGAAATGTGACGGTTGCATGACCCGTCTTCGATGACGAGGCCTTCGGTGCTCCAAAGTGGAAGGTCACGTGTTTGTTTTCACCTTGAGGGGCTCCGTGCATTAGAAGTGCGCATCTCGCTACGTGCTGGAACGATTCATTCCTGGAATTCACCCAGGCATTTCTAGCCAGTCCATAACACTGACACTGACGTCATTCAGGTGCTTCATTCATGTGAAAAAAAGTTTTCATCATAAAATTCTCGCAATCCTTATTCGAGTGAAGGAAGTACCTGAATTTCATCATTATCTATAAGAAAATTGAAACCTTGCTCTATTCGACCTCTGTATAATAAAACAAAACCTATAAAATAAAATAAACGAAACAAATAAAAAACCTGCTGACAAGAAGGTCGGGCCTATCCTCCAAGTGACTCCTCGACTTGATTTCGTTGGTTATCATGTTTGTAATGTAGAGAGCATTTCTTGAAGAATAAAATACAAATAATTAAAATTTAATATAAAATTTCCGAAAAAAAAACGTTTGCGACTGTCAATTGATTACATCAATCGATTAATCGTATAAACTTTATAATAATAATTTAATTAAATAATTTAATTTTAAATAGTGTAATTGAGTTTTAATCTTCCTCTGGCTTCCCCCTGATTTTGACAAATAGATGATAAAAGTTGCCTTTTGTTTTCCTACAAGGATCTCACTTTTTTGTGCATCATTCTAATCTAACAAAGTTTCCTTTATTCTTATTTGTTTTCCTTTCCAAAAATAACTTTAAAAAGAGCTGGCTTTTGCTGTATATTGAGCCATGCAGAAAAAAACGCTGCCTTCAATTGCCATAATTTAATGGAATTTCAGTTACGAAATCTTCACTTTTGGTTATTTTCCAAGTTTGCACCCCATAAGGCCAATTTAAAATTCTATAAATTTCTAGTTGCTGTTATAAATTTTATTCAAGATTCGTCTAATATTTACTTATAATTATGAAAGACCCTTTATTAAAATTGAATTGGCAACCTTAGGCAGCCTATTTTCTTTGACGAGGTGCTCTGTTGCTATTTTTGTGATTCGTACCTTTTCCATGACTAACAGCGTTGTAGATGACAACTGAAGATCGGAAATGATTTATGTCGGCTCTGTCAAAGACGACAAAGCGAAGGTAAACATCCGAGATCCTGCTAGAATGTCAGCCGCCGCATGATGGCAACCCAATATAAATAAATTGAAAGAAAAAAAAAACTTGTTAAGCAAGTGATGCCCACAGCTCAGACCAATCCGAAGGATGACCGATCTTTATCGAAACAGAGGTTCGCTGTGGCAGGGAAAAACCAGTTTTCGATACGCGATCGACGAGGCACCGAGGCAACAGATAGGCCGTGTATCGAAAAGCCCCTGTGGTTCCTCTATCGACAGGCTAGAGGGTCCTTGAAAACAGAACCATTGAAGCGCGGAGTAGAGAACTATCTCGTAGTGCAGAGAGGGTTGTGCTCCCGTGAAGACAGCTCGGACAGACGAAGTCATTCTATCATCATGAGGTTGGATGACCCCTCTTCGTGGTTCGTGCCTGCTTCCATCTTCGCCAAACGCACTTTCAACCCCATTCGAGATGTCGTGGAGACCCTGGACCTCAGGCCCAATCCGGACAAGCCCATGATCGCACTTTCTATCGGTGAGTGCATACATGTAGAACTCCATACGTACTCTCGCTTTGACGAACGAACCGTGAAGCTCTGATTTCCTTGAGACGTGAAGAAACGAGCATCGGCGCGAGATCGGTATTGCATCATTGTTCCTCTAGTTCTTACCGGAATGTGGAGTCTGGATTCTCTCACGTTTCCTGTGAATTTAATGCACGGATCACCAGCATGTTCATTTCCATCAGTAGCTACGCTGAACTTCCCATTCCGACAATCTCGACTTGACCTTGTTTTGATAATGTCCCTTTCTGGATCCAAATAGATTAAGGATGCGGAATTTCACTCTTAGCTTCAGCAACTTGCTCCTCCAAATAAGTCTATTTCTGAAACTTTGGATCCACACTTTTTTTTAATTTTTAATAAGGGCCCTGTCCCTTCTGATTTCCCATGAACCGCGTGCGGGTCAGGATTTTTTCCTGCAACGGCTATTCCAAGGAATGAGTTGAATTGGCTCAAAATAGCATTGCGCGCCAAATATACAAGCATAAAGCAGAGCATTGCTTCAGCTCAAATTGATGCTCACCACAGTCTAAAATGAATAAAATGAGACAGAATTTTAAAATATTCCTATGGTATGACCAAATATTATAAGGAGTAGTAATATGAAGCAGTTGTTTTCAGCAAATTTGTCTTGACTCTCAGGGGATCCAACGGTGTTTGGGAATCTGGGGCCATGCCAAGAGATAATCGAGGCAGTGCTGGAAAGCGTACGAAGTGGATCTTTCAACGGATACGCCCCTTCCACGGGTGAGACATAAAACGATCTGTACCAAATATATTTTAACTTGAATTCATTTTTAACTGTATCGTGAACTTCTACGAGAATTCGCCCAACTAAGTTTATGCTATTCTCTTAGAAACTCGTGGAGAAAATGAATACGTTCCATTCGTCTTTGTGCATTTAACCCATTATCTTGGTCGCAACTTTCTTAGAAAAGCTAAGCCACTTGAGATGGGATGCGGTTCCAGATGTGACTAGCCTTGAAGCGGAACGCCTTCAGAGATGATACACAAGAGGAAATTGTCATGAAATTCAATGAACATACATTCGAAGGGAAAAAAACAAGGGGGCTGTTGCCAAGTGCTCCCTCGATGCAGCACGTGATCCATTATATGCCGGGCCGCTTTCGCACTCGAATGTGATTATGATCTTCGGTTCTACGTTCTTTTTTTCGTTGTACTGATGAAGAAGTAGAGATACAATAGTTCTATTTTTTTTAAGTGCTCTAAAGTCTCTCTCACTATTCTCCAAAGCGAATTTTAGGGAGTAACTTTTCTTGTGAAGATAGAACGAAGGTGAAACTTGGAAAAATGTCATTTGAAGGTAGAAGCTGACATGCGCCACGCGATTTTTCTTTTGCTTTGAGTTGAGTGGCACATCCTCTGTTCGTCTCAAAAGGTCTTTCCACTCACGCAAGGAATTGGGAGCACATATTTTCCTTAAAGCCTTCAAGGTAAGAATTTTGAGAATTATTTTGGTTAGAGATTATGTAATGGTGTATCGGTGCAATTCAGGCATCTCGGTACACATTTGTCACGGTATAAGAGCAGGGAGAAATCGATAGCTGTTCACCTTCGGTATGAGATGGATTAGTCCACGTTTGGATTCCTTTGGATGTCTTGCGATGTGTCTCCGTTATTCTTCCAAGTGCTGAAAAGCCATCCACATCTATTAGAGCAGGATAATCATGGGAAAGACTAAAGGTAATATATTTCCAATATTAATTTGCGGGCTATATATTTTCTGCACGGTTTCTTAAATGCAGAAAAACTCCAAAAAGGAATTTTGCTGCGATAATTTATCAAGTGGTAAGAATATCTTTCATTTCCGTGCTTATTTTAATTATGCCTACCAATTCTAAATATTTACTAAAATGTGCGCGTATATCATTTTGAAGGCTACCTGGAAGCTCGGCGAGCTGTGGCAGACAAATTCTCTTTACCCAACGCTGAACTAGAAGCCAAGGTAACAAAATTGTTAAAACAGAATGACTTCCACTGACTGCGATCTCTTTGCACTCTTCGCTCTATTTTCTTGAAATGATTCTGGAAAATAGGACGTGATATTGGCGAGCGGGTGCTCGTGTGCCCTGGATCTGTGCATCACCGTCCTGGCAAATCCGGGGCAGAACATCCTTTTCCCCAAACCAGGTTTCGCCATCTACCGCACCCTCGCCGAGGGACTCGGGATCAATACCAAACAGTACAACCTAATCGTGAGTCTACGATATTTACACATCTGCCACAGTATTTCAACTGTTTTAACACTCGTATAGGACTTGACAGAAATCGTTCATGCTGTTTCATGCATATCATGATCACTTTGATATATCTGATGGCAAGAACAAGTTGAGGGGGAAGTTGGGAGTAGTAGAAAAAGACCTTACTTTAGGGGTGTCAAACTCGATTTGGCTGGGAGCCGGATGGGTTGGTTCAGGGGTGGTTGGGGGCCTCACTAAGTTTACACCAAATTTGTAATGGGAACAAGTTGAAATTTGCCGCACTTTTCGAAACCTACTGTCGGAGAGGACTTCGCGGGCTGGACAAAAAGGACTAGCCAGTTTGACACCTACCTTACTTGTTCTTTTTTTCTCTTTGGAAACTTTCTTATGAACGGTTTTCTTGTTCGGGGTCGTCTGTCTAGCCTTATCTTGTTATATTTGTGATTTCAGCCGGACAGGAACTGGGAAGTGGATCTGCCGCATTTGGAATCCCTGATTGACCACGAGACAGCAGCCATCGTGGTCAACAACCCTTCGAACCCCTGCGGCAGTGTCTACAAGAAATCCCATCTGCAAGATATCTTGAGCATAGCCGCTCGACATAAGCTTCCCATTCTCGCCGATGAAATCTACGACGATTTCGTACGTTTATTCCCTGACATCCGTCTATTTTCTTGGAATGTACGAAAATTACAATTAATGTTTCATGTCAGGTGTTTGAAGGCGAGGAATTCCATCGATTGGCATCTTTGACCACCGAGGTTCCCATCCTCAGCTGCGGAGGCTTAACCAAGAAGTATGGTTCTATCAACGAGGATGAGTCTTTTATAGAATTTATCTTAAATTTCAAATTTTTGTCTATGCATTTTCCAGATACCTTGTTCCCGGATGGAGAATGGGTTGGATTCTCATTTATGATAGGCAAGGGATCTTCGACAAGGAGGTAGATTCATCATGTTTCAAGTATTTGTTTTTAATTCATAGCATTGGTTGGATAGTTTCCCTTTTTTACTTAGGAAAAAAATCGCCCCCTTCAGGCTGAAGCATTTTACGTGAAACCAAGAACAGATGCTTCTACAGCTCAGATTTAGCAATGGATATGCAAGGTGACATAAGTCGTTGAGGCTTCTCGACACAGGTCTTTATAAAGGGTAACTGCATATCAAAGTCCTTTCTGATGTGACAAAAGAAACTCTAGGGTAAGACAAACGTCTTATTTTTTTTTTATCACTCTACGGCACATGCTACAAAAGAACCCCGTGGTTTTTAAATACCCCTTTATAAATTCACGTGCTGTTTCGTACAGGATGATTCCCCACGAGACGAGACATCGTCACAATGCGATGTTTCTTGCCTGGAAGAGGCTTCCTTCTTGCAAATACTTTGCATGTATCATCGTAAGTCCGAAATAGCATTTTTTTTCTGTCATTCCTCTGACTAATAAAAATTTACAGCGAGTCGAAAGGAAGGAAGCCTTTAGTGACCAGCGGTGCTTCTCAAACATTCAAAGAATCTATTAATATATACAATTTACCTCTATACGTGCATATAAATGTTTATCTTAGTATCCTGGGAAATTATTAAAATATATTCAAACGAAAAATGCATAAAATTATTAGCACGACTTAATTTTTGCATGTAGAGGGAATATCCTGAGTAATGGTCATCCAACAAGATGGGAAACTGGTGATAGAACTTCAGGAGCTCCTTTGTCCCCGAGTCCACGATTTTATACAAAGCCCTGACGCGATTTTCATGTGACAAGAACAAAAAGCAGAGGATTTCAAAGTGATTGAACACTTAAATATCTCTCTCAGCTCGCTCTTTTTTTCAGTTATTGCAATTATTAGAAATTGTGAAAAGCCAGGAAGTAGTGTTTGAGGACCACCCTGGTACCCAGGCAGCTAGGCTTAGAGTACGAATCACGGCCGGTTGTTGTTGTCGTAGTTGAGAAGGGTCGGTAAGGCAAAGAACTGTGACAGCAGGATGCAAAGACAGCAAACAAGGGGGAATGCAGCACGACCCCGACCCAAGTGTGCGAATTCGCATCCTCACTCTCTCCATCTCAATCGTGGTTTGAATATTTTTATTTTCGTTTTACTTCCTTCTTACTTTTCCCCCCACTTCCTTCTTCCCCCTTGCATTCTATCTCCTTTCCTCTCCATGCATCTTTCTATCTTATCCATATGTCAAATTATTCATCTCCGATTTTCCCCCATCAATGCCACCCACATCCAGCCCCAGTTTTTAGTGAGCTTCTCGAAAAAAGTGATATTGATAAATATCCGGCCTTCAAGTCCGAATGGAAATATGATCTGCGTGCATGCATCAGCTCGACCGGTTTTGTTTTTATTGCCATCTTGGATTGACCGAACCTGTCTCGAGTTCTACCTTCCTATCTTATCTTCGCCATAGAGAGGCTCGAATCTTAAAACAAACCATTACATGACAACAGAAACGAGAACTCTTCTGGCTAATGGAACAATGGAACAAATCATGTGTGTCAGTTCATTTCGAATACATAGGAAGAAACTGGAGGGGGCCTTCTCACAATGGCATTTGATTTAACGTTTCATTCCCAGGAATATAATGGATGGAAATACTTCGTAAGATAGTCTATCCTGGCATGACAGTATCTTTTCTCTTTCTTGCACGTCTCGTTTATGCTTCGTAACATTTTACATTCTGAAACCCTGAGGAAAATGCCTCATTAAAATCCCTCGTCCCAACACAAACTATGATAGATTCGGTCTCCTACAGCGGTAAGACTACGAGGTACATCGTATTGATAAGATGTTAACTCCAATGAATCTTAAAATCCCTTCAATCGATGTTGAATGACAACGCATTTGTGTCTTTGAAAGGTGAGAAAAGGTCTTCAGTGCCTGAGCCAGAGGATCATTGGGAGTAACACCCTCATCCAAGGTGCACTACCGGCCATCTTCAAAAACACCCCACCCTCCTTTTTCGCAAGCAGCATCCAACAAGTCCAGGTCAGTGATTACATCTTACCTTGATTGATTTGATTCAACTGACCTTGATTTTAATGCGAGAGAATAACTTGAACATTTATTATTCACATTCCTCAGGACAATGCTGTGCTGGCGTTCGAGCATCTTAGCAAGATTCCCGGGCTGACACCAGTTGCCCCTCAAGGAGCAATGTATATGATGGTCAGTGCCAGAAAGATTATGAAGGAGTTTCCGATAATTGAGGGTTAATACATTTTATTCGCCTTATTCGACAGGTCAAAATCGACATGGAGAACTTCCCTGAGTTCTCTAACGAAATGGAGTTTGTGGAACGTCTCGTCTCTGAACAATCAGTCTTTTGTCTTCCGGGCAAGGTAAACGAAAACCGCTGCAACTGCATTTTTAAAATTACATTCGGGCGTTTTGATGCTTCGGGATTCCTATTTTTCTCAGTAATTATGAAATCGAAATATATTTAAATTTGATTTTTATCTACTTCAATAAGTCCAATAATTAGGCACCACTACCGTTGAGGTTGCTGTTGCTATTCCTTCCAATCACGACCTTCCATGTCTCGTAGTTTTCAACGTGAGCGTTGAAGCCCATCAGTATCTAGGACGAGGTCTCCGGTACCTTGTCAAGAGCTCCATCCACCTAGTCCAAGAAAGTAGCGTATTCTCATTCAGCAATTGGTACATAGACCTATATGATGGTCAGAGAATCACAACATTTGAAACGTAGCCCGATTAATGCTATTCTCTTGCTGATCAACGTTCATTCAACCATTCTGTCCGCCAACTGGGGACTTGTGAGTATCCCCACTCCCGCCAGGGATTGAAGAGATGGATCAATACTGGAATAGAAGCGCTTCCACCCTTCTATATCGAGTGTTGTGATACCACAGCTCCTTGTTGAAGAGACCCCAACAATATCTATCAACTATATCTTTTGGCCTCATGAGTTCCCGTTTCATTCCACTAAGCGAAGAGATGTTCCAATTGCTAATTTCCAGATTCCATAGCCGTAGTCGATTTAGTGTAGACCAATGTGACTTGCCGTGCTGGCATTGTGCTGTCCCCTTATGTTCGTCATGATGAGTTGCGAACCCATTGTTGGTTACGATAACCGATGTTGAGTCACGTAGCTCTTTAGGGTTGAATCCGGGAAAATAGTCGGCCACCAGACGCTCTCATAGCACTACCCCCAGGCCTGGCTCCAGGGGTAGACCCCAGTATCCCACATCTGAGAGGTTAACGAATTTCCGTTAGTTGACTTTTCATAAGGGGTTTTGCAGAGGCCCGTTGGAGTTATCCAGGATGCAGGACGAGGACGCAGACTTGACTCGCATCCCATGTGCCAGCAATGGGCTAGCTATCATGAACACCATCTTCCAACACAGGGACATGCTTAAGTATACCTGGTATTGAGATACTCTGCACCAGAGGTCTATAATCGATTTCTTCATCGTATCATCAGACCTATAATGCTGTGTTGGATGTACGGGTAAAACGAGGTGCCGAACTACCAACTGAATAGCACCTACTTGTCAGCACTCAGAAGTGTACCAGACTGGCTCCTACGCTAAGCAGAGGGACAGAGTCTTTTAGAATCAAGCGGGAATCCCCTGGCTTATGGGACTGTCCGAGAACTGGCCGACAAAGTAAAATCCAAATTCGAGTCCCTTCCCACAGAAGTAGCTGATGCTGAAATCGAGTAGATGCTGTTCAAAACAGCTCTACTAGGGGCATCAGCGAAATTTTGTGAAGTGCGTTGAATTGGCTCCTGGCGACCAGGAACGAACACCATGATGGACTCCAGAAGTTCAACTGACCGTCAGAGATAAGAAGGCAGCATTCAAGTCGGCTTGGGTGTAAAGTCCTTCTCGGCAGAGGTACGAAGAAGCACGAAGGGTCGAAGCGAAAGCTGTATGGGAGAAGTTTGGAGAAGGAATCGAATCAAACTACTGTATTAAGTTGCGAATTAAGTATTCTGGAAAACCATCCGCCGGCTTTGAAATGGTAAGAAAGGATCACTTCATGTTCTTGAAGATAAGAACGGATTCATTCTTACCACGAAAGAACCCTATTTCGCCGTTGGAGGGAATACTTTGCCGACCTCTTGAACCCAGTGTAGGAGCATGTTCGTCTTGAGGCGAAAAAGAGCCAATCTGTGGCGTCAGTCAGTCATTGAGGCAATCAAGTCTCTTAAATCTAGCAAGGCTGGAGGTATAGACGAAATTCGGCCAGAGATGCTAAAGGCCTTTTTGGGGTTCAGGAATATCCTGGCCAACCCATGTATGTCAAACTGCACGAAGTACTGGAGCCTCGCCTTTGGACAGGCAGTCTGGAGTGGTGGTCTCTCTATTCAAAAGGGGGACCAGAGACTGGAAAAGGCATACGACATGGTCCCTCGTCTAAGGTGGGTGTCTACAAGAGTATGGAGTGGATGGTGAGCTGTTGCGATCCAATTCCAATCTCTGCACAAATCTTGTAGGAGTTAACGGTATCAAGTCGAATTTCTTCACCGTGGATGCTGGACTTCGTCAAGGGTGTGCCTTGTCCCCTCTCCTATTCATAGTTTATATGGATTGGATCATCAGGCGCGACGGAGAAGAGTACCTACAGATAGGTACAGCCAAGTTGCGAAATTTGCTGCTTGCGGATGACTATATTGGCTGCTACCGAAGCTGACCTGTGTGCACCCGATAGATTCGCAACTGAATGTGCTGAAGCTGGCATGAAAAAAGTAAAACCAAATTCGAAGTTATGGTAAGGTATTCTGTTCAGTGAACTCTTCATGCCAGTGGAGTCCCACTGAAGCAGGTAGAGAAGTTAAAGTATTTCGGGCTCTTATTCGCGAGTGATGGAAAACGGGATCAGGAGAATGATAGACAGATCGGTGCAGCCGAGGCAAAAATGTGAGAGCTGTACCGAACTGTCGTTACGAACTTAGCCGTGAGACGAAGCATTCAGTCTTCATATCGATTTTCATTCCTACCTATGATCGCGATTCTTGGATTTTGACCGAAAAGAGTGTGGTCGCGAGCGCAAGCGGCCAAAATCAAGTTCCTCAGAAGGATTATTGGACTGGCAAGACTCGATAGGGTCAAAAGTTGGGCGATTCCAGATTTCCTGCAAGTCGAGTCGCTATTTCTCAAAATAGAAAGGTCCCAGCTTCGATGATTCGGACATGTGCTTAGAATGCCATCAGAACGCATTGCCCAACAGATGGTCTCCGAACCAACCGGTCGCAGACAACGAGAAAAGCTTAGAACGACCTGGGTCAAGCAAATATTCTGTGGTTGTCTGTCTCTCTCTCTCTCTGAAGGTGACCCAAATACAGATCGTGGCGGAAAATCGGGAAAAGTGGAATAAAAACTCTTGACTAAGCAGCCCCACTATCCGAAAGGATAAGTGTTGCCGCAAATGAATGACTGAAGGAATGGATTCTCATCCATATTGGTTATTCGTTTATTTGTCCTTGTATGGATATTTATATTAATATATATTTTAAATACCCTCCCCCTGGTACTAATTTCTTTTTTCCTCTATTCCCTGGCAGTGCTTCGATTATCCCAACTACATAAGAATCGTGTTGACAGTCCCGCGGGACCAGATGGTGGAAGCACTTCGCCGAACAGAAGCTTTCTGCCTTGCTCATCACGTACCAGCCAGCCCAAAGAAACCACTTCCCGCAGTGGATGTCCTCGCCTCCTTCACGTCTCTCTTAAAATCCAACGGGAGCATCATCGTCGAGGACTCACTCAGCATCCAAACCAAATGATGATGTTGCTATCCAATATGATATCAACGAGGACCAGACAGACGGAAATACTGATTGCGAAACGAAGACTCAGCCTGTAGATATAGTTTAGGATGTGGGGATAAAAAAAAGTATTTTGTACAGCTAATGTCCCAGGTGAACACGAAACCAAATTGCAGTATGTGATGATCAATGTTGAGTCCCACTCACTGACATCTTTGACCTATTACCAGAACTGAGAAATGTCAAAAGAATAGTGGAGCTACCGGTATTCTGTATTTTTCACCCATGATCGATGCCTATTTGGCAATATATGTTTGCATGTCAGCGATATCTCGTAAATAGTGACTTTTTATGGTTTTACCCCCAATATTTTTCCGTGTTGTTATTCCATAAGAGAGAAAAGGGAAAATGCACGCATGAATTTTTTAAAATCATATGTTTGACTTTTTTCATTAGCGACAATCCTCGCCTGGATCCATTTTTCAGTATTTTCCTATTTTAGCACACTGGAGTTCCAGAGTGCGAAGAAGACTCAAACTCTTTTCCATGGTAGATCGAGTTACATCAAACTTACAGCAATGGAATGTCACAAATATTGACGAGTGAGGCAAGTACCACCGGGGAACTGTCTGTAGAATACCCTACGACCTTTAAATTCATAATTTGCTCCACAAGGATGGCGCTGTACACTTTTGAATCTCCTCCGAAATTTGACTATCAATAAGAAGGTCAAATCGTACGAATGCAATCTAAAATCAGTATGGTCCCTCCAGTCACCCAAGGTCTCCGATTCCACTAAGTTCTTCTGTTACTGCTCAGAACTTCCGGTGCTCTAAAAGAACATCTGTGCTTTGTTCCGTTGCTTCTACTGACCGAGCGAGAGTAGAAAGAGTTAACGAACTTCGACAAGATGCTGATGTACTCGTATCGCTATCTGTGAGCCTTGGGGGAGTCTCAAGCAATGATATAGCAAGTACACATATTTTTCCGATTGCTAAAGCACTTTCATATACTTAGCTCTCGCTTTCAAATCTTTAGGTACGTTCTCCAAAACTCGGAACACATTTTCATATCTGGGCATCCAAAATTTACACGTCACGCTTTCTGGCGTGCGTGATCAGGAATGTCCACCAATAACCAACTAGGTATCCCCTTTGCAAAAGCCTTCTGACCACCAATCCAATGAAATGCATGCCCGGGATATTCACTTTCCTCAAGAATCGAAGCGGAACTGAAATGTATGCTCTCGTAAGTAGTTTTTATTTCAAGCCAGCTTCATTACTTTTTCTTCGACCAGTCTGTTTTACAAGGGTTCGACGTGCCAATCACTGCAAAGTGCAAGAAAGCTCTTTTTTATTGCCATAAAATTTTCAGAATGTATGGCTCATGTTCATTGTTCATCATCAAATGAGATTATTTAATTACAGTAGGCGAAGTCAGGCGGCAAAACAGATAATGTTTAAGGCTCCTTAAGACAGAGATAGGACCAGTCTATGAAAAAATCAAACTCTTTTGCTAAGATATCTAAGATATTTAAGATAAAGCCCATAACAATCTGTAGGGCACCGTGAGATATTTCTTCGTTAACCTCCGGCGGAAAATGTAGTTTCAATTCACATAAACTCCTTCCCTATGAATGTCTCCGTTTCTCAATTATCATTCTATTAGTCAGCCTCGAAACCTTTTTTCAGAGCCATTTCAAATTCTCCTTATTTTTAGGCATCCAAAATTGAACAAAATACCCTAAATGGGGCCTAACATTTGCTGTGTTCGACAGAAGAACATCGCCCAAACACTTATGTAATTGAACACTGCTTAAACCTTAAGATATCAGAACTTTAGTAGCTACCATCAACTGCGCGTGCTAGAAGAATATTGGTCTCATTGATGACCCCAAAGTCCCTCTCATAAACCAATATTCACCAATTTTATTCAAAGACCCATTGATATCAAGGTCCAAGTTTTTAAAATATATAGTGGAGTGAATATTACAAAGCTAAAGACAAAGGGTGGATTTTTGAACAGAGCATTATCCGATAATGCAGCTTTATTTCAGAGAAAATGCATTATAAATCCGGTAAATAAAGCTGCATTATCGGATAGTGTTCAAAAATCCACCCCAAAACTTTTCAGACTTGGGCATTATAGAGCTCTATTTTCAAATATGCGAATGACAACCCTGCAAAAATGACTGCCTAGACGGGGTTGTTTCATGCAAAAATATAACCTTTAGAATGCTTTATTACTAGTGCATAGTTTCTTTTTTGTCCGTAATGCGCTAAAGTCTGCAAAAATTGTAATCTACCTCTGTTAACTATAAGAATAGAATCAGTCGACTATAGCACTTTTGTCTATTGTAAAACTGAATTGCTTGCAATGTCAGTTGCTTAGGAAGGCACAGGAGCAATTTATGCAGGGTGGCCTAAAAAAAAGTTCGAAATTTACACTGCCAGATAGAACACTTGCACTAGGCATTGGTAAAAAGAAAATTTAGGATGTCACACTCAACTTTTTTTTTTTCACGAAGATCTCAATGAAGTTTGTCGTTCAGAACCCTAGTAAGGGTTATTTTCTCAGGCGAAGTGAAATGAGGGCGTGCGCAATGGAAGCGCAACTGACCTCAAAATAAAAGGTTCTCGATGGTTCCTCCTTTCTGGTTCATAACCGCTCTCAAGCGCTGTTTCCATTGGTCAACTCACTTCCTAATTGAATCATCATCCACAAGAGGTCACATTTCCTCATTCCTAGTCTTCAGTTCAAGTGTTTAAAATGGTGCGCAGCGTTTAGTCTAAACAAGCTCCTTCACATCGTGCCAAACGTGTACAGGTGTATTTGAAAAATAACACTTCTGACTTCATCCGAGAAAATCAGTGGCCACCCAATTCTCCTGACTCAAATCCCCTTGACCACGGAACGTGGAAAGAATTGTTTATAAATACTCTCTACTATTACTACTACTAAATACTACTACTAAATACTACTACTAAATACTACTACTAAATACTACTAAATAATACTACTAAATACTACTAAATAATACTACTAAATAAAGAGCTCTCCATGCATTGGGATTATGTATGCTGCTATTATGTATTATCAGTGTATTCTTAGATTTATCAGAACATTTATGCTAACAAGAGAGAGTGTGTTGGCGGTAGGGCGACATCAGAAGCGCAGAATGTACATAAAACAACACCGTGCGATTGGTTGTCCGGTGCTTCTCAAGCTGCAAGTCACGTGACATCACATTAAAAATGTTCTAAAATATTGTATTGTATTGTATCACTTTATCTTAAAGGTGCGAGCGTCGAAAGGTGCAAGTTTACGATTTATCAACAGCCATTAAATTAACTAAATTAAATTTCACCGGTGAGTGCCGAGAGCACGAGAATTTCGAAGTTGTTTGCCTCGCGTGAAAACCATGAGTAATGATGAAACTGAAAGATGGAAACTCCTTTGTGACACGAGATAGTGTTATCTGCTCGGGAGTTGGATCACCACGATCGAAATTGTCTGATACGACTTCCTTTTCGAAATAACCTAATAAGCAAGCACATGCTAAGTTCTGGGATGTACATTGATGTTGCTTAGAAATCGGTTTGAAAGCATGCAGAAAAAAAAAACTTTCAGTGCAAAGAAAATGGCCTAAGGAGGTACGTCAGTCGCGAATCAGAGGATCAACCTACCAAGTTAATGCAGTCTATCATGCACAATGCGGGTTCAGATACTGACAGTTTCTACGTTGCGGTTGATTGAGCGCTAAGGAAACTAGATCGCTTTCAGTTGCTCAATGATTACATGCCAATGTTTTATATTCTGGCGCATCGTGAAAGGCATAGATTGAAAGACACTGTATCTAGAAAATGGCACTTGGACTTAGCAGTGACACAAAACAGTGAGTAACAGTTGCAGTCTACCGAGAGGACTTCTCCAAACTCACGTTAAAATTCAAATTTATCTCGGATCGATAATGTCACGAGAATGCCTCACGAAACTAGCCACACTTATTCTATTTGTTAAAGGTCTGAAGACCATCCAGTTTCAAGGTCATGGAGTTGGTAGCAATGGCTCTGAGGAAGAGAACAGGGAATCTTTGAACAGCCTGCATAAATACCGTTCATAACTTTGATAACTCAAAATGTAGAGAAAAAAATATCCTAGCGTGACGTGGTAATAGAAAACATTGCGTGTGTGTGAAAGGGGGCAGTGGGAACCTTCGGAACCTGGAGCCCATGATTTGTTTATCGCTGGAGGATCCCGCGATTTGCTGTGTTAAGCCTGGTTACAGCATCACCCAAGTATTTGGTCCCAGAACTCGCTTAATGTCATCCTTATGATTCTAATATTTGTAGCAGTCGAGGGCAGTGGCGTGGCGTGGTGGGAGGGTGGCATGTGCCCCTTCCGATAATAAAAAAATAAAATGTAAGAAAGAAAAGAAGCATGAAAAGCATGAGAACAATACTCAAAAGTTTCCGTGCCACAACACTTTTTCCATTCAAGTTATTCGTATGGAGGATGAAGCGAACCACTATTATCTCTGGGTCGCGCTGATTGAGGGTGAAAGAACAAGGCCGAGGGGCGCTTCTGGTCTAAGTAGGATGTCGAAACTACTGTTGGATTCACATGGTTTGCATTGAATTTTATGGAATATATTAAATCTAAAAGTATTTGCAACATCGTGTCTTTATATTAAATACCTTTTAGCTAAATTAAAGATTTTATAAACCTTTCAAAGTCAAAGTGGATGAATTCACAAACACAAAAGTAAGCGGCCTATGTGAGATCCGTGACTGCATGTGTTCAAGGCGATAATGGCGATCCGCTGTACCTCAGCCATGTCGGCCGAGTAATCTGGTCCTTACTATTTATCGCAACCAACTTATTCTCTGCTGGCTAAGTTACGCTAAGTTACTCTGCGCTATTAGCGTAGAGTGGCATCTAGCTACCGATGCGGCTAGATTAAGGGTTCGCTATCGTCATTAGCCAGTGCCAATCGCCAATGGGGTTCATCACTTAAGGGTTGTCTTCGCTGGTGGGTCATGCTACCTCTGCTCTTCAGTTTGAATAGTCGTCTTTCTTGATTTAGCTGAGCAACTATTATAGCTGGACGATTTGGCTAATTTGTCAAATATAAATCGTACATATGTGCTTAGTGTCCATTCATTGGTAGCGTTAGGCTAAGCCTACAATAGACCTGGTGTATATAGTAAACTGGGAAAAATAGCACCATTTATTGCCGAAGGTAGATATCTTTAATTTACCAAATTTTTTCAGCCAAAAACAGTAAGGTTAATACTCTGCCAACTGTAACAGGCCAGGAGGTGATGCGATTAGGTTTATACTTCCACCAGTATGATGATCTGACCTGTGATGCTCTTTTATGTGATCTAGTGTTTTTCACTTGAGTAAGACTTTTTTTCATTTGACTCTTGTATTATGAATGTCCCATGCACAAGTGTCCAAGTCAAGTGAAAAACACTAGTTGTAGTCCAGTATAAGAGTAGGTCTTGATTTACCTATCTACACTTAGTGAATTGTTTGGAAATGGCTCTGAGCTGCTTTCCTCACTACCCATACAGACTTCTTCCAGCAAGGTTTAAGGTTCCTTTCCAAGGTCTATGTAGTCTTATGTGTTGTTGGCAAGAGTGTAGTGAAGTATGCCAATGTCAGGGATGGAGTCATAGCACTGTATCTAGGCCAGATGGAAAGGAGAAATGTATCTGTTTCCTCTCCAACAGCCTTTCAAAGGTTTCCTTATTGTAGTATGAGAACATCATCTACCCATCTGTTAATGCCCTTCTTGCTCCAAAAGAAAATGTGGAAAACCAGAAGCCTATGTACTGATTTTTTTTTAATGTTGCAAAATATGGTTTTAATTAGGGCTGTCATGATAGATCGATGCATCAATACCACTATCAGTGGTTGGAGGTATCGATAGTTTTTTCGACCATCACAATGCATCGGAAAAAGATTTTAAAGGGGAAATGCCCCATTGGATGGTGGCGAGTACGGTACGATACAGTCCATCTATGTGGGGAAAGAAAAACAGGGTGTGACAATATAGGTGAGCAATTTCTCACCATTATTAAATTCTGGACTGACTATATGAAAGACAGGAAGGAAAAAAGTTGGATCGGAGACAGGAAGTGGGAAAAGAGAGGGAGAGAAGACTGAGAATATTTTTTTCTCTTCTGTTTCAGTCTTCAGCTCAGTCTCATCAAGTGCATGCTGTGAAAGTGGACTGTTCTTATACTCCCTTGATTTCGAAACATCCATTGGTGGTTCTTTCCCCTCTCTATATGTTTCGGCAACCGCCGATATGGCACCATCAGCAGCAGGTTTGCTATCTGCCGGTGCCAATGTCCAAAGAAGACTGTGTAGAACGAAGAAAATGAGAAAAAATTATATGAACTGATCCTCAATGGCAATAATAAAAAACTAGGGCTGTCTTGTGGCATCCATCTAGGAATGGATATTATCCTCTATATTTGGAGGCATGGTAGGTTTCATTACTCATTGCGAAGGTCACACCTTCCTCCCACACCCCCTGATCACAAGCGTGAGATTATGGAAGACAGATAAAGGTCTGCTTTCTGATCGAGGCTAGAAAAGATTGAATCCTCTGCCCCCCCCCCCCTTCGATGCATCAATACACTATCAATAGTTTAGGTCGATGCATCGATGTTTTGAAAACTGCTATCATGACAGCCCTAGTTTTAATAGCATATGAACCTTCATAAGTGCACTGAACTGGAGTTCGAGAGAAGAAATATGATAGATGATGTACTTCTTGTTAGCCAATTGGTTGGAACCTGTCTTAGTATAGGATGAGACCTTGTTAGACAATAGCCAAGATAATTTTGAATCCCTTTTGCTGTAGACAAGCCAGAAGAAGCATGGGGAAATCCTTCTATATGAAGGAAAAATGGTAATATGATTACAATTTGTTACACTGTGAACCCTCATCATTTGAATTTGTTTTCATTACAATTGATCAGTCTCTTGAGATGAGCCAACTGATACTTGGTAGCCTATTCAGGCTGCCAGTGAAATTTATTAAAAGCTTTATTGAAGATCTGGAATGTAATTGAGTAATTGCTATGATGAGAGGTAATTGAAAAATTATTCTGATTTGAGAACTTTACCATAAATATTGATGTAAGTGCAGTGGGCATTCAATAGTTGAAAAGGTTTCTTCATAGCAGTGTAGGAAAAAAATTTTTTTTTCCTGCTATCCTGAGGCAACAAATCAGAATTTCCTGGGAAGGATATGCAAGGGGACTAAGTGGGCTGGGCCAGCTCTGTCCTGAGCATCTCTGTTCCCTCAAATCTCATTTGCAGGTTCACAAAGGTTTTCTTAACCTGTTTCATAGATTGATATTTACATAGTGCCATGATTTACCTATCTGGTTACCAGAAGACAAGAGCTCCAAACTCCAAAATTGATGTTTTATATATTTTTAGAGTATACATTTGTTTCAGGAACAATTTATATTAGTATCCTTGACCCTCTCCCAATCATAGGTACTGCCTTTTGAGTTAGTTTTAAAAAAATGGATTCCATGAATATGAATATGAATATGCATATGAGCATGAATATGATGGGCCATGCTCCTCGAGACATGCATGGTCATCCGGGTGACATGGGACATGGTCATCCTGGTGACATGGGACATGGTCATCCTGTTGACATGGGACATGGTCATCCTGTTGACATGGGACATGGCCTCCATGGTGACATGGGACATGGCCTCCATGGTGACATGGGACATGGCCTCCATGGAGACATGGGACATGGCCTCCATGGTGACATGGGACAGGGTCCACCTGGAGAGATGCCTTATGACCAGGAAGAGGTAAGTTCACATTTTGGTTGTAGCTATACCTAAAGTTAGGCTATGTGTTATACAAATCCTGAGCCTGTAAGTATTCACAAGCCAAGTAGGGTGGGTGATACAAATTCCAACCCCCTTAAGCTCAAAATCTGCCCCCTCACTAATGGTTTGATATTCATCTTTTTGAGATCCATGCCAATCGAGAGGAAAATGCATACACTGCCCATTCATGTGTAGGGATCAAACACTTGCGTAATTTGGTTGGAAAAGTCCGCTTGTACTTCTGATCGAGTTGAAACATATATGGGGGGGGGGGGGGGTGGAATTTGTATCACCTACCCTGGTAGGCATTGGTTTCACTTTGCTGACTGAAAATACTTTTGCCACATAGAATTATTGGACATCCACAAATGTTGTTTGTGTACTCAGCTCCCTTTCATATGCCATTGCAAAGGAGTATAAAAAAAACTCTAGAGCATTCAAGCACTTTCTTGGATTTAATGGTTTTCTTAGTCACTACATGGAATATGCCAAATGAAATTAACTCATTATGCTGCCTTATTGAGAAATCAATGTGTATTGATTCTTTCTCCTTCCTGAATACAGATTTTGAGTTAGATAGTAAGGACTTATCCTCTTGATACTGTAGCTGTCAATTCCTAATCTGAGTGTGGTGGGTTGGACAGCCTGCAGTGAAAGGTCACGTCATGAATCATTTTCAATGACCTCATTCAAATGGAGTGTGGTCACTGTTTTGAAAAACAGAAGGCAGGAAATTTGGTCTCACCCCCAAATGTCCTGACTGGAGTCCTTGTGATTTCCTTATGTCTCCATTTGTGCAGAGCTAGTACCAAAGAGAAAGTTCTGAAATCAAAGATGAAGTTAAAAAGCAGCTGCTATGACATTTGAGGGCATTGTGAAAAACATGCTCTGCAAGGAACTGGAATATTTAATGTATCATTAGGGCAAGTTTATCTAATTCAAGGGATATTACTTCAAGCAATGAAGCAATTGTATTATTAAAATAATTCTTAAATGGCCAATGGGGGACAAATCTTTTTTATCACCCCTCCTACTGCAGTGCCTAGTATTATAATGCTGATACAGTACCTTTGTCAATAAAGGCACACTCATTCACATGGATCACACCATCAACTTTAGGGATGTAATATTCATGCAGTAATGAGGAAAGCTGTTCCTCTGATTCAGAGGAATGAGCTATTCATATCTAATGCTACTTTGTTGACTTTGGCTTGAATGATGAACTAATTGTCACTTTTTATTGGCTGCTATCCTTTGTTTCCAGGATGCACCTGGTGAATACCCTCCTGGTGAAGATGATGAAGTTCCACTGCCCCGAGCATTGGAACAAGCCCTTGCATACAAAAGTGAAAGAGCCAGGGAAGTTGGCATTGAGCTAGATGATGAGAATGACTTTCCAACTACACATCATGGCAAGTTTGGTTCCTTTTGCAGCTCTGTTCCATGTTGTGTTATTGGAAATTTCTGCAATTTTTTCTATGAATTTATATTGTGTACTCATAGAAGAGGCAATTCCATCAGTTCCTCCAGCCCCAGTGATATCCCAGTTGGTGGATGAGGATGAAGAGGAGACAGAGGAGAAACCAAAGAAGGAGAAGGGGCAAAAGAAAAAGAAGAAGAAGAAAAAGAGGAGAAAGCATCACACATTTAATAAGGAGAATACAGATGCCAAGAAAGTAGCACCCAAGGAAGAGAAGCAGGTGGAAAAAGTGGAGATTGAGTATGTTTCCTCATTTCTTTGTTTTGTGGCTTGGTATGCTGTGTTTATTTTTAAAGATCATTGCTTGTACGTTGTTTCCTCTTCAGTTATATTCAAGAGAAGCTGGAAATTAGCAGATTTGACCCAGTGTATGGTCAGTTTTTAAAAATTCTTGATGCCTTCAAGCTGGAAGAACCCGAGCAAAAAAAGGAGGAGGATGAGAAGGCAGCAGCTGAGAGAAAGGCTGAAGAAGAAAGAAGAAGGGCAGAGGAGCTACGGAAAGTACCTAAGAATCTGGAAGAAGAGCCTGAAGAAGATGTAGGTTCTACTAAGAGTGAAGCTATGATATTATGCTGTATGAAACTGACAAGATGATCCCCATCTTTATAGCTTCAGAGTAAGGAGCAAGAACCAGGGAAGACAAAGCTCTCAAAGCGTCAGCTGAAGAAGCTAACAAGGTTGAGCATAGCTGAATTGAAGCAGCTGGTACCTCGGCCTGATGTAGTTGAAATGCATGATGTTACAGCTCATGACCCAAAACTCCTTGTCCATCTGAAGACAGCACGCAACACTGTCCCAGTCCCTCGGCATTGGTGCTTCAAGAGAAAGGTTGGTCTTGTACTGAAACATTGGTTTCCTTTTTTTCTTTCTTTCATTTCCTTTGTTTTAATTGATTTTCTTGTTGTGGCAGTATCTTCAAGGGAAGCGAGGATTTGAGAAGCCACCATTCCAGCTTCCTGACTTCATCAGAAAGACTGGAATCCAGGAAATGCGACAGGCACTGGCTGATAAGGAGGAACAAAAGTCGTTGAAGGCAAAAATGAGAGAGCGGGTTCGACCAAAGCTTGGGAAGATAGATATTGATTATCAGAAGCTTCATGATGCCTTCTTCAAGTGAGTTTAGTGATTATGATTCCTGAGTTAACATTCCTAATGGACTAGTTTTATTATATTTAAAAGTTCAAACAGTTCAGAAGACAGAGGTTTTTGGACAGAAAGAAATTGTTTCTAAGGTCCCAGTATTATAAGTATGTATGTGATAGGAGTGAAGCAGTGAGCTGATTCAATTATTTCTAAGTCTAAGTTTTAGGCATATGCTCTGCTTTCAAATTCACCATTGTGTAGCAGTCCTTCTTGATGCTAGATAACAAGCACAAAAGCACAAATACAGCATTTCTTATGCACCAGTGCCATAATCTTTCAGACAATGATCACAGTGACATTGCACACAGGTGGCAGACCAAACCCAAGATGACAATTCATGGCGACTTGTACTATGAGGGGAAGGAATTTGAGACACGACTGAAAGAGAAGAAGCCCGGCGAGCTGAGTGATGAATTACGAATTGCATTGGGAATGCCATTGGGTACAGCTGGCAATAAAGTCCCTCCACCGTGGCTCATAGCAATGCAGCGTTATGGTCCTCCACCATCTTATCCCAATCTTCGCATTCCTGGCCTTAATGCCCCCATCCCTGATGGATGCTCATTTGGGTATCATGCCGGTGGTTGGGGGAAACCACCTGTTGATGAGATGGGGCGCCCCCTTTATGGAGATGTGTTTGGCTCCACATATTCTGAGCAGCAGGTTTGTTATATTTTTAGTTTATGGTTGGACATTCATTGTGTGTTACTTTGTTCAGATTATGAGTTTGGGCCAGTAATTTCATATTTGAATATCAGATAAATCTTGCTCTTACTTTATTGGTAGTTACTACATTACTACTGTCAATGCATCACCAGGCATTTATAGTTACTAAGTAAACAATTTCATCTTCTAAAGATAAAAATAATGATTAAAAAAATTATTAGATACTGCTTTGCTAGACCTTTGTCAACAAGGGCTTCACTTCGTTTTGGCCTTGCAAGCTTTGACTTTTTTTTTGTTCTGGAGGCTCAAACAACATGAGAAAAGATTTCCTTTTTTCACCAAACCTTTTCCAAAGCAAGTTCATGCATGTGATTTTGCTTAGCTTATTTTGATGCATGTTTCTGGCTTTTCCTAGGAAGCAGAAGTGGAGGAGGAAGAGGTAGACCGTTCACTTTGGGGAGAGATGGAGAGTGAGAGTGAGAGTGAGAGTGAGGAAGAAGAAGAGGAAGAAGAAGCAGGAGAGAAAGTGGGTGAACCAGGAGAAGCACAGCAGATAGAAGAAGGAGGTCTTGTGACTCCTGGACTTGTCACACCCTCAGGGATGGCCTCTATCCCTTCCCTTCCTGCTGGTATGGAGACTCCAGAGCTTATTGAGCTGAGGAAGAAGAAAATTGAGACAGAAATGGAAGGGTGAGCTGCTTTCCATGAGTTGATTTGAAAGATCCTTCTCTCTGATCTCTGTTTCTTTTTCAAATATATATTTTTTTAAATAGCTTTTCGCAGCTGTCACCGACTTAGAAAAGTCAAATGGCAGCTGAAAAGTCAAAGACAAACACCTCTACTATATCTTGTGATGCAATAAAATGCCATTTTAAGGAAATACTGTATCATGGGACCATTGAAATTAGTTCAATATTATTGAGAGTTTTGTTTAACCAATTGTGTCCCTTTCCCCTAGTGAACCTCTTTTTTTTTGTGACTTCCTTTATGGTAGCTTCTGAATATTCCCGATTGTCTCTTCTGAGGTCATAGGCAGACAACTAATGTGTACTGGTGACAGTTGTGGTTGTCAAATGCTGTGGGAAAGACTTGATGTAAGGGAAGTAAAAGTTGGCTTGAGAATTGTTACTGAAGAGCACTGTTACTGAAAGATGGTGGTGGTTCAAATGTACTGGGTTGGGTGGTTGAGTCACAAATGAACTAGTCTCAAGTGACATTGAGAACTAAGGGAGGAAGACATGTCTGACCTTTCATTTCTTTTGAGGAGAAAGAGAAAACAACAAACAAGAGAAAACTAATATCTCAGAAAGGAACCACTAAGGCATGGAACAGTTATAATGGGGTATGTTATTAGTGTATGTCTCTCTGCTTTTTCTCCTCTCCAATAATTCTTTCTCACAGATTTTTTGGGAAATGGGAGAATAAGTCTAAAATCTCAGAATGTAAAAGCAGAAACAGACTCGGGGACTATAGGTTTTTTCGACAAGAATAAATACATATGATCTGGTGGAGGAGGAGATAACGAAATTGGCAGATGGGTTTCATGATACCAATGCCCTTCTCTCTGCTTCTCCATTATTCCCTCTTTTCCTGTAGTTTCTTCCTCCGACAGATAGGTATATTTTCAGCTTCTTCAAATTTTGTTCCTGAACTTCCCCTTCAATTTGCTCCTTGAAGAAATTTAATGTTGACATAGAAGCATTGATGCATAATACCAGCCTGAGAAACCAAGTCCTGTATGAAGAGTGGTAGTAGTTCTGGAATATTATAGATTGAGGAAACTAAGCTTGTTTTATTACCTAGCCTAAAAACCAGTTCTGGAAAGAAGTGGCAATTGTAGATGTAACATGTAAATGACTTGACAGTTTTAATAAATATATATATATCTGGTTAAGGCAAAGGGGAAAAAATAAAATGAGGGGGTTGATAGTTGCTTTATCAGACTGACTAGAATTCTTTCTTAGCATTACCTTGGTGGGCATATTTGCTTTGGAGCAGTTGAATCTGAATTCCAGCTTAGATTAAGAAATCCCAAATAAGAGACTTCTGGTTACTTTATTATTGAGAAAAAACTTTCACTTTCACTAGCAGAGAGGATATACACTAATGGGATGAGTACCGTTTGATGATAATAAAAAGCTTGTGATGCTCTTGAATAATTTGTTTTGGATGGTGAAAGAGCACTTTTTTAACCTGTGTTGGTCAGTATTAAAATTTACTTGTGAATGCAAACTTCTGCTTGCTGTGTGTCAATATGCACATTAGCTTTTTTTCTGACATGCCATAATTCATAGTGTCATTTGCATCCCTGACAACTTGCAAAAATCAGGTGTATTTATTATATTCCAATAGTGGGGAGACACCAGCACTATATCAGGTCCTGCAGGAAAAGCCATCAGAAGGTATTCGTGGGGCAATGATGGGCTCAACTCATACATATGAAATGAACATTGGAGTCGCACCTGTCGGAGCGGGCTCTAGCATTGAGGGTGGGGTTGACGTCACCCTGGACCCAGCAGAATTGGATCTTGTTGGAACAGAGGCCATGAGAGCCAAATATGAGCAGACACTCCGGCAGCAGCAAGCAGCCAGGGAACTTGGACTTGGAAAGGAGGATCTCAGTGACATGGTTGCTCAGCATGCTGCCAAACAAAAGGTTTCATTTTGTTCAACTATATTTGTTAATATCTCCGATATCAAAGTGTCATCAGCTAAATGCTTATGATATTTTATTCTCTTGTACTCCTCCAGAATAAGAGGAAGCGGCAGCAAGAGAAGCAAGAAACAGCCAAGCAAGCCAAGAAATACAGAGAGTTCAAATTCTGAATACCCTCCTTTCTATTGCTGTCCATGTATGTGTTGTCCTTGTGTATTAAATGAATAGATCACAGGATGAGTGTGACATCTGACCTCACTGCCCAAGCATCTAAATCCAGGGAAAATCTGGCTTTTAAAACAGGAGACATATCTAAATCCAGTCCAATACGAGTTTCTGTTCTCTTTTTTTTTTTTATCACAAAAAGACTTTGTTTCAAAGTAGCTATCTGTAAAATGAGTGGAGCATTTCATGATGCTTGCAATTCAGTCTACTAAGGACCTATTCTCAAATGTAATAAATTTCTCTTCCCCTCTCTGTCTCTATATCTATCATTTTATGAAGGGTTTTAAGTAAGTTAGTGACATCTATATGCTTTCCATATTGCCTCTGAAACCTATGTAGGATCTGGGCTTATGCTTGTGTACCTTCTTTTCTTTTGACAAGAGTGCCAGCTCTTGCAAAAGAAGCCACCATGGACAAACTCAAGAGAGGGAGAAAAGTGAATAAAACAAGGGGAGGAGTTCAAGTTCAATCCAAATTCAACTTTTTAGGGTATACAAATATTTGAACTATCTCAACTCAGGTTTGAATCCTGGCATGGATTTCAAATCTGAGTCTCCTAAGGTGTGAACCAGTGATGGCTTGTAAGTGTAGGCCAGTTCAGTGTATCTTAGACCCAGGCCCAACCTGAATGAAGAAGAAATGCATCAAACTTGCGATATTTGAGATAGTTTTCCTTTGGCTTATGGTGGTGAAATTTTTTAAATTTTAGCTGTGTAAATAATCGTTTACTTCATTGGAGACAATGGAACTAGATTGAATAGAGCTTTGCAAACTGGTAGCATTTATCAGGAAAGGGAAGGAGAAGGCTGACAAATGGGTTTGGAGCATGTGCATCTGTGTGGATTAAACTGGTCTTTCTTGAGCCTGAAGTACCACCAGATGGACAGGAATGCCCTACCCCTTCTGCCTGCAAGCAATGGAATCTTGCAGGGGACTCATTACTCTTCTAATCTCATCATTACATTTGAGAGCCCTGCTGCCCATGTCTTTTTATCCTGGTCTCTCCTTTCAAGCCTCTGTATCTTCCCCAGCCCAACTATAATTAATATCTTAGTGTTGGTGTGACCAGTATTTATCAAAAAATCAAATCCACAGTGACCTGTTTGCAGGATGAACCATGTACTGATTCACAAGTCATTGAGATGTTTTGATAACGGGGATGCCATGGTTGAGTATGCAATTTCATCATTTCAGACAAATGATTTCCAGAATGCATGATCTGCATTTCCCCTTTTTTGGGCATGGAAAATTCTCATCTTAAAATTCACTATTACTTCTACAATTATGCATAATCCAGGTAGGTTGCTATGAGATTTGAGAAAAGTACAATGCTGGAAATCTGATCAATGTATTTTAGGAATGTTCTCTCAGTTATATTGAATTTGATAGAGCTCTTTTGCATAAGATTTGACTTATTCTTGTTTTTGGAAAGTTGTACTAAGAAGTTGAGAATGACAATCTGGAAGGAAATATGTGTAGTATGTCCAGTAAGTTATTCATCTGTATGAAAAATACTAAGAAGTGTGAATTTCTAAAAGTACTGCCTGGCTCAAGAGAAACCCTGGAAGTTTTTCTTAATATTCCTCTTGAACATTCTAGGTCCTTCCTGCTATATTGTAAATGGAGGAAAGCTCCCTGCAGCGTTTGCGTAGGCTGAGAAGGAAGCCTCCAGTGCCCAGCCCCTATTTCATGCAGGACCCTAGGCCTGGGATCTTCATCAAGGCATGCTCTCATGAATCTTTTAGTTCCCTCAATGTCTTTCGCCGGAAGCTTAATAGATTTGCTGGTGAGGAACACTCACACCAGTGTGATTGCTCCCTCTGTCCCCTGAAGAAGCAAAAATGTGATAAGGAAACCCGCATATCCCAACAAAGTCTGGAAGCCATGCAGGACAGTCAAAGAAACATGCTTAGTTCTTATCAGAGGGAGCAATCAAAACCCCCTTGCCAAAGAACATCAACAGGCACATCTAGCTCAGCCTCAACATTGCAATTGAGCCAAGCCTCAATCTGTAATTCAAAACTGGAGAAGTCCACTTTGAAACCCAACAGGGAAGAATCTAATTCTTCAGACCTATCAAAAGCAGCACTTATTACAACTTGGCCCCAACTTCCAGGTTTAGAAACTCAATTACAGCCTCCAGAAGATGGAAACTCATCTGGTGGCATGTCTCTCAGTGCTTCAGGTCCATCTCAAATGCCAAAACTTTCAGCTGTTTACAGGTCTTCAGACTCAACCTCAACCTCATCAATTGAGATCATGAACCAAGGTAATGGAAGTTGCCACCAAATCTCAGATTTTCCTACCCCAATAGAAAGTTCTCAACGAGAACTTATGTCAGATGTCATCCTGTCTCTTTCAATGCCCACAGTTAAAACAGCAGGAAACACACTATCAGTGTCAAGTTCTTCAGCTGTAGTCTTAGGAAGTGAAACAAGTGCTTCTAAAGATACAGAGGAAGTACTACATAATATGTCAGTTCAGGAGACTTCTCGAAGTACATCAAGTGCAGGAGTTTGCTCAAGTGAACCTAATCCTGAAAAAATCACCCTGAAGGTCCTCAATGCCCAAAATAACTGCCATGTTATATCAGATGCAGAAGAAATTGTCAAATGTGTAGCAGAGACTCATGAAGAAGAGACATGCAAAAAAACAGGAGGGATTACAAGAAAAGTTTGCAAAAGCACCTTGATGGAAGATGAAATTTGTAAACCTGTATTGGATGGAATGCCCAATGTATTTGAAGCTGGTTCTCATGACCATATCCCAGTATTTCCTTGTCTCAGTGTATCTGACAGCCCTCTTGGTACAGTGCAACTTGGAAATCCTGAACCAAGAGAAGAATCTCAGAAGACAAGTGACCTTTTGGCTACAGTCAGTGGAGAATGTTATGAATCTCAGGGATCTTGCTGCTGGAAGATCTCAGAAAGTCTTGAAGCTGCTCTCGCCAACTTACCCAACGAGATTTTGACAAACACAGAGACCACAAGAGAAGCATCAAATTTAGTCCCACCTGGAACTTCTCAAGTAAAGCACTCAAACAAGGAGAGCATGTCCCCATATTTTTCAGCTAAGACTTCCAGAGACATCTCAGAATCTGGAGCAGTCTACATAGACAATGCATCTGGCTTTTCTTCTTATATTCGTCCTCCCCTTCTAAATGAAGTCAATGCAAGCCAACAGCTTCCCCAAATGAACCCATCTGTGAATGAGAAATTGAAGAAGTTCAGACGAATCCTGGGGAATGAGTCTTTCATGCCATTCATCCCACAGAGTCCTAGCAAGAGACTAAATCTTCCTAAAGGAGCTCAAGGTTGTCATGAATGCTTATTATATCAACTAACTTAAGTCATAAGGATTCAGAGTTTAACTATCCTCCATCCATAAAGTTTGTGACCTTTCTGTATATACCATATCTTCATGTAAAATTACTAAAATACTTTTGCTGAACAAATACAAGGTTACTGTTTAATCTTATTTTTAATTCCATTATTAATATTGTGAGGTAGAATTTAATGGATCCTATATGACTAAAGGCAAGCTTAGAGTGTTTCCAACAGCATGGCCAAAGTCAATTTCTTCTGCATCCCAGGTGAGAGGAAGAAAGCATCAAATAACCTCAAGGTTATAGAGAAGATGAAGAAGTCCATGAAGGAGATGGGCCTTTTTGCTGTGACACCTGCAGAAGTGACCTTGGGCACCCAGTGGGGTGTTTATGACTATCAAGTCCCATGCACCCTCAACCGGCACCTCTTCAACACTATCCAGGTATATTGCCACTTCTTGGTCGGTGTCTTCATTAATACAACTCCTTGGAATGTCAAAATTGTCTCTAGTAAGATAATGATTAGATCATTCCAGTCTAACTCATTCATTATGGTGCTACAATCTTGGATTTTTTAAATTTAGTTTTTGACAGGAGTTTTTAAATTCAGGAGCAGAGTTTGATTTGGTAAAATTAGCAGAACTTTGATTGGCCTTAACTTCTGGAATCACTGCCAAATTATGACAGGACTACTTCTCTTGGAAGGAGGAGACTAGTAATCATGCTTAGTTTATGCTTATTGATATTTCTCAGATACCTTGTGTACTTTAAAAAATATATATAATGCCTTTTTTCCTGATAACCCTTTATTGTTTGTTGTATAAATATATGCATGTATTTTTTCCTCCTTGTGACATAGGTACTAGGGCAAGTAGATCAAAAGTTGATAGTTGTGAAGGGAATTGTTGAGGATGGTGAGGAATGGATGCTATTTGTGGACCAGCATGCGGCACACGAGCGGGTTCGACTTGAGAAACTCACTCAAAGTCTGCCTTTGGTGGATACTCATTTCCTTAACCCTTCCATGATGTCATACATAACATGGATCCTGTGAATGAATTTTCAGGTGCTTGTAAGCTGGACAAGAAAGGAGAGCCTGAGGTCTTGTCTCTTGGCATTCATCCTCCTGTTCAAGTAGATCTCCTCCAAGAGGAAGTCCACATCCTAGACTTATACCGGTGAGTGAATTTGCTGATGATACAAAGCTTTACATGTAAATGCATTTTTCATGTTACTCATGGCACTTACCATTTGGAACTGACTCTTCACATGATGTCTACATGCTGTTAGCATAAAGCTATAAATGATTATTTCAGTCTTGTAATTTCTACAGATGCACTGTGACTTTAATGCAGTCCTTTCTTTTTCTCTCCTTTTTTGTAGCCTTTGGAAAGAATGAGATTCTCTGTTGTCCCATCATTTTTGCTATTTCATTTTGTGCCTACATATTATCACATATAAAATTATAAGTGAAGAAATATATATTCTCCCTTTAACCCTTTTGGCATCCAGCCCAGATGCACTAAACCTCCCCACAGTGTCCAAATGTTTTAACCCTTTGCAGTCCAACCTCATCCTGGGGATGAAATTTATAAAACTGCAATTTGGTCCTATCTCATCCCCAGGATGAAAAAACTTGTGAGAAAAAATGAAAGAGGGCGCAACAGGTAGACCTGTGCAGTAGACCACAGCAAGGTGCAAGAAAGACAACTCTCTATTTTTGTGAAACATGCACCAGGAAGCCTGCTCTGCACCCAGAAATGTGCTTCAAAAATTACCACACAAAGGAAAATTATAAGGACTAATTATCAAGAAAGAAACGAGTTTGGATGTTTTTGACTCCTTTGTGCTTAGCTTAAAGTGGTGATAATATAGCATTATTTTTCATTAGAAATAATAAAACCTCATTCGAACCTATTTCAATAAAAAAAACTTAGGACTGCAAAAGGTTAACAAAATTAGCTGATAGTACTAACAGCACTAAAATCACTTTAGAACTTATACAAGCAAAGATGAACAGACAAAACTTTCATGGAGGACTGCCTATATAACTAGGTGATATGTAGAGTGGTAATGAGTGCCACTTTTGGATATTTGTGGATCTGGTTGTGCTGTTATCAAGTGCAAATTCAGAATTCTGGAGGCATCATCTAATACAGCAACTCCCAAACTCTCTGCCTCTATGTACCTCTTGCCTCCAGGATGCATATGTAGTATACCTTGGAAAGCTTTTGTGTACCCCCAGTGGTTCATGTACCACATTTGGGAACCGTTGGTCCCAACCCAATGTCCCAATGTTAATTGTTTTGAGCACTTCCTGAGGGATTCTGATCATCAACATGATTCATTGCTCTCACAATCAGAGGACTATCCACTAACTACAGCAAACTGTTCTCCAGCAACATTACAAATAACACTCTCACTATGTGACACGTTAGAAAATGAACCAATCTCAAACATATCTTCAATTTTCTCACTCTTGGGATGCCATGCTTGCCACTTCCAAGCATGACGAAAAATAAACACTACAATTATATTAGGGAGGAAATAGCATTTAACCACATCCTAAAGCATAGGCAATTAAAAAATGAAAAGTTTTCCACCACCAGATTTTGCCCTACAATACACACTTCAACCAGAAGAGAAATTTTCTAAGTGTGGACATTAGGACAAGTAGTACTCAGGATGATGCTGAAAGGTTTAAACCAGTATATTTAGAAATGTTTTAATTAAGTTTAGGCTGTTTTCAATCTACCAAAATGCAGCCTGTTTCAAATCTGCTCCCTCCGCTAAGAACCTAGGCATGTGCCGTTTTCAGAGCAGTTCCAGAAAATCCAAAGGGACCTGTGGGTGGTCATCCTACCTGCCTATTCAAAGCATGGGCTACTTGAAGGATGCACACTTAATGGTCTGACTTGGTTAGCCTACATTAATGTGCAATGCCTTTTTTTTATTTATTCCCCATAACTGAGCCCAATTTGCAATAATTATACACACATTACTATTTAAAATAAAAACTTGGAGTGATGTCTTTAGGAAGTGCTTTATGAGGGAAGGATTAGACTGTGAAAATTTGCATCTCTTTTACAGAGAGGACTTAAGGAGACTAGGTTTTTCTTGGATGACTTTAGGGTCTTCCTTGTTGCTTCTGACAGCTGTTCCCAGCTTCATGGCTGAGAGAGATTCCAGTGAGGTACACCTGTCATCCTGCATCTTTTCATAACACTTCCTTTGTGTGCCTTGAAGGTTAATTGAGTTATTGATGAAATCACATGTAGGTGAAAAGAGGTCGGGCACCAGCTGGGTTTGAGTGTGCAAAAAAAGTATTGAAGGAATTGGCAGGGATGATCAAAGAAAGATCAGGATTACCAGGAGTACTTCCTGCTGCCCTCAAAACCATTCTCATCTCCCAGGCATGCCATGGTATTACAGTGGATTCTCTTTGCATTGGCTAGTTTTGTTTCATGTTACAAGATTAATGTGAGCCTGATTTTGTATTTTCTCTCTTTGAGGCTATATTTTTCTTTGTGAAGCTTGTTACTGCAATCACCAGGGCATTCATTTAGATAGCTTGTACTGTAGTCATAGTCAAAGGTCTGCAAATTTTTCCATTTGCTGAAACAAGAATGTGAATCAGTTGAAGATGAGACACCACTGCAAATGTATAGTTATAGACATTAATCACAGTCCTTGTGAAGCCTAAGCTGATAATGTTCAACCTGAAGAGATTAAGCACAGCCCTAGTTCCTGGTACACTCTGGAAGAAAATTGCTGTTGCCTGAAATAGTGCCTGATGAAGCACTGAGGTATTATTTAAATTGACTGAATGTCCAAGTTTTCCATTTTATCTTATACAAACAATTCATTCTTGTAAAAGGAATGAACATATTGAATATGAGAGAGGGATAGAAAAGTTTGTGGACTTTATTCAAAACAATAATCTCCTCATGCATTCACATGAACATTGATGTTAGTCTCCTTTCCAGAGAATGATATGAATTAATTGGTATGATAAAGACAGCAGTTTGAAGGTGAACACCAATTCAATCCAGTTTTGAGATATTGATGAAGCTACTTGAATGACAATAAGCATGATCATGTCTTCAAATCCTAATCAGATAACTTACTTTTAACTGAATTGATAGATTCTTATTAGTACTCCTAAATATTTGCTTTTAATTTTATCTCATGATGCTTAAGTTTCTTTCTGGGAAGAATTTGAAACAGACTCACTGCGTCACTTGAACATGCAATAGTATTATCTACTCAGTCTAGGATGATTCAAAGAGTGATAGGGGTTCATTCATCCTCTTGGAATTGGCAGGTGCCATCAAATTCAATGAGAGTCTGACAAAAGTGGAGTGCAAGGAGCTGTTGAGGCAGTTGTCAGGGTGTGAGTTGCCTTTTCAATGTGCCCATGGACGGCCCTCCATCATCCCTTCTGTCAATTTGACTCAACTTCGCACGCAACTCCGTCACTGTCAGCAAGTTCTCTCCAACCCTTCTGCCTCTAAATCATCTTAACAGAGTCCTCCTGCAGGTTTCAGTCAATTTTTAGGACTTTGCAAGTAGCTTTATATGAACTGGAATGTGATTTTTAATTTGTTGTCATGAGAAAATAAAATTCAATGTTTAGAACCAAGGATCAGTTCATATTTTGGATTTCATTGAACAAGTACCATAGGCTGGCTTGGACTGCCAATGCCTGGCAATCAAAACACCTCGTCAGAAGCTATTTTTTCCATTTTTGTCAATAGACCTGTATTGTTTAATGATGTCACCACATATTTTTTAAAAGAAAAGTGTCCTCTTGATGAACAGGGTTTCATGAAATGATACCCCCTCTACATGTGAGACTGAGACAGATGTGAAAAATACAATGGAAGGATTGAATTTATCACTCCACCATTAGTCACTTTGTCTACATTATGTAGACGTGTTTTAGAGCATGGTGCTTTTGCCATTTGAATATTGAACAGTGGTCAACTTGTCAGGATATGATTTCAAGGAGCAGAAAACTGAGAACTGCACAAGCATATTGTGCCACTTGCCACATGAATATAGAATATAATCTTTTTCTCTTGCACTTACTAGTAAACCAGCCATCACTAATACCCTAAAGATGAAGAAACATAGCCAGATTAAAAACCTGTAATAAGCTTCTGCTTAACTGTAATGTAATTTTCTGTGGGGGGGTTATCATTTTGTGACACCCTCTACATATTATGCCCAATCTGGCATACTGAAGGTTTCTCATGGACCCTAGAAAATGTCTGTGGATGATGATGGTCTAGCTATATGGTTGTAATGTCTGGATGCTTGGGCCAATAGGTATGTCTACTTCTTTGGGAACTGTTGAAATTGATGTGGGTTTAAGTGCAGTGCTGGAAGAACCTCGAAGTGATGGCAAATACCTTCCATCCATCTCAGCAAATCTTCCTTACCATGAATTTTTTTTTGATATTATGATGGGCCATAATGCTGGACTCATCCACTCTGATGCTACCAAGTCTTGGCCATGTCTCACCAACTTTGTCAGGGAGAGTGGTTCTGCAAATTTGGAATACTTGTGCAAGAGATTTGGACATGCAGAGGTGCCAGTAGCAGAATGTCATGAGAGGGACACATATGATTCCCTCCAGGTGCACAAATGGACCTTTTCCAAGTACTTGGAGTACCTGGAAGGAGATGAGAGAAGAAAATTATTTTATCTGAAGGACTGGCATTTCTTCCAAGACTTCCCTCTAGAGCCAGTTTATGAGACCCCTGTGTATTTTTCATCAGATTGGTTGAATGAGTACTGGCAGGAATGCCAGGGTAGTAAAGATGACTATCGATTCGTATATTTTGGACCCAAAGGATCCTGGACTCCTTGGCATGCTGATGTCCTGAGGTCTGACATTCACAATTCATTCAAGCTACACCTCATATTCAATTCCAATTTTTCATTGAAAGTTTCCTTGATTACTGTAATTTCCTAAATGTGATCAGCTTCTGCCTCAATTTTCAACCACTACAGCTGCTGCACTTGAGAGGTTTTCCCTTTAGGGAAATCAGTTCAACAAAATCACAGATTTCTAATTCTCCTACTTTCTTGAATCTGTCATGATATCCTGCACATTAGTCATGAGAAAAAGCCTGTCACTAACTCAGGTTTTCTTGAGTATGAGTCATTTTGAACTCGATATTGAATTTTTATGTACCATTATGCACTTTTGACCATTTTCTCCACATATTCCCATTTTCTTTTGGAAGAAAATATGGATCAATGAATGAACTGTAGTGTCCAAGAGTTGTATTCAGGTGTGTCTTGTAATGGTAAACTTGCTAGTCAAAGGAGGCTTAATATTAACATTGACTTCCAGACTCCAATGAGATATGAAGGACTGAAAGGCAAAGTGGTCTATCTGCAAAAAATTCCCGAAAAAAATGTTGCTGGTTTTTGTCCTTAAGAACCCTGTTCCTTTCATAGAAAATTATAGTTGTTTTTTTTTTTTTATTAGGTAAAGGAGGAAGTGCTCTATCGATACATACCACTTTTTATCACTTTACAAAAGATGGTCACTGGAATATTCACTCATTCCATGTGGAGCTCGAGGAAAGCTCAAGGATTTTTTGCAGATAGACCACTTTGCCTTTCAGCCCTTCATGTATCCTCCTCCCTGGGCACAGGATGACTTGGAAGTGATAGCAATGAGCATGTGCCTCAGAACATTCTAGTTTCAGGCTTAGCAGTCAATGTGTTAAAGATATTGAATCTCAAATGTGTCTTGGAAGCACTTCTTGTGTAACATGCATGAGACACATTTTATGTGTGTTACTCAACAAAATAAGAAAAGGAAGCTGTTGCATATCAGATGAGGTGGTCCTCTCATTTTGAAACTTGCTAGGCTTTTTTCTGTATATATCCAGTCTCAAATATCTGTGAATGTTTCAATGAATTCATTGTATTTCCTAGTAATACCTAAAACCATCTTGAAGCTGAACAGCATGCTCTTTTCCAAAATTGTCAGGGACCTTTGCTGCATGGTGCCAAATGTTCTATGGAGTATCTGTGTTTCTTATTTCCACAGCTCACTATACTGTACAGTTGCTACTTATGGGGGATGGGTCATGAACAATATCATGCCATGACTAAATTTTCAAGTTCATTTGTTGGATATCCACAGATCATCCATGCCAAGTATTCAAAGCATCTTTAGTTAGTGGATCTAATCAGTCACTTTTTAGTTGACTATAGGAGTTAATACTTCCATAGGTGGAATATGACAGCTTCAACCATCAGTTCCACTTCTTTTCATAAAGCTAAGTATGGGACATATATAGGTTTCCAGATCAAATGTGGACAAAGGAAAGTCAAATGTGTTGCTGAGCTGTTTGAGAGTATCGAAAACGACATGATGAAGGTCAAATGCGTCACTGTGGTGGATGTCGGATTTTATGGAAAAGCTTGTTTGACAATGAAAGTCAAATGCAACAGATATGCAAGATATACCATACTCGTGTTAGGGGGATACCTTCTCGTTGCATTTTCGCAACGTGCAGCTTTGATCCCACGATACCAGTTTCACAATGAAAAAACAATAACAAAAGAATACCAGTTGAGGGTTAAGGAGAACCCCATGTCTTCCTTTCAGTTTCGTCATATGTGGAATCAGCCCTCCCGCTCCAAATGGTTGGTCATAGCATATTCCTATGACGAACCCGGACACATCAGTAATTGTCCAAAAATATTAATTTCAAAAGGAGCAACATATATAAATGCGCCTGAAGCTGCACCTTGTGAAAATGCAACGAGAAGGCGATTCCCCCTAACACTGGTATGATATACCTTGCGCATCTGTTGCATTTGACTTACCTATGTCGAACATGCTTTCCCCAAAAATCCGACATCTACCACAGCGACGCATTTGAAGTTCCCTGTCACATTTGACTTTCCTATTACCACATTTGACCTAGAAAACCTATACAAGGACATCTTTCAAATGCATAACTTTTGAAATTAATCTATAACATATGATGTGGAGTTCTGCTCTCATCAGAGCAAAAAAAAAAAAATTAATTTTTATCAGATGGGCCAAGTGGGGTTGGGGATGGGACCTGAACCCCTCGGCCCCTCCTCCTCCATTCTCTGTGGTGTGTCTCTGCTTGTACGTGCTTTTATGATTACATTCTTACCCATAGGTGACTGGCTAGTTCCCTGTGAGCTAAGTCGACCCAAAATGGCCTTAACGAATACAGAAGAAAGTAGTTGTTATTTAAAAATTTATTATAAGATTCTGATCATGTTTATGGATTGTAACTGTCAACTTTACAAGAAATACCATACCTGACCACAAAGTAACTTCCAGGCTGTGAACTTTGTTTGAAGAACTCCTATGATGGGTGACGTGCACCGAATCCATTTAAGCTAAACTAATCTGATCTCACAATGGTTTCCTATAGGAATCAGTTTAACAAAGATAAACGTATTCCCATAGACGCCCATTATGAAAACGAATCAGGTTAAAGTTAAACGGATCTGGTGCATGTCACCCAATAACTTCTTGAATGAATTGTCAGCCTCATGAAGCTCAGTTTCAGATTACAGTCAGAAAAGGCTTAATGCAACTTGGTTTAGAATATGCTAAATTAAACTATGCCTCACGTCTGCAGCATTGGTACACCTTAAGGGTTTCATGCAATTTTGGTTAAAATATTCTTTGCTGTATTGAAATGCTTTATTTCCAAGTTTTCTACTCAGAAATAATTGCGATGCAAAACAATTTTGGTCGAATATTTCATACAACACCTGTAATTCTTATATTCATATTTTGAGTGTTGGTTCATTCATATTCTTATCCCTTATGCACAATATGGGATATGATAATGAATAAATATTGGCATAGATGCTGCCTTCTTGGTGACAAGAGGTCTCATGCCTCAGATGAAGCATGAGAGAGCAATCGGATCAGGATGCTGCATGGTTAAGCAGTGAATTGTTTCTCTAAAAAGTCTCAGATTCTATCATTAAAAATAAGGGCTCCAGATCATGGACAAGGAAATAAACAGATAAGCCATTGACTATCGGTGTATTACACATTCACTTAATCAACACCATTCACTTCTTATAGGAGTTGCAGTCTTGTCGAACCATTCTGTCAGCGCAAAGGCATCCCCTCCCGCTTCCCCATCTTAAGAATGATAAGGTCTCAGATCTGAAGTAGGCCTCCTGCCATTTTTAACTGTATTCGCATTAGGACCGAAAAAGCAAATGCTAATAGAGCTGTTTAAGTAGAGGACTGTCATTTCTTGTGACCTCATTAGAGATTGGGGTGAATACGTAAGTGTAATGAGCGGGAAATGCTGTTAGGTGATACCGATATACCAATATACTTTACCAATGATCATGCTTAAGTTCACAAAGTTTACTGTACTCCGTAAGTGGACAAGAATTGCCTGAAATGGTCACCTAGTATGCTTCTGTATTCTACTTGCAGAATTTATATTTTTTCACCTATGATTACAGGATCGGTATTTTCATTGATTTTGTTGTTTCAGGTCACACAGCTGGTCAACAAACGTATTTGGGCAGAAGCGATGGCTCCTCCTCCCACCAGGTTCAGAGGTGCCTTATATTGACTCTCACGGGAACATGAGAGACTCTCCCGTGGGACCAGAAGTCATTCAGGTCATCCAGAATCCCGGAGAGACCCTTTGGGTGCCATCGGGATGGTTCCATCGTGTGGAGAATCTGGAGGACACCCTGTCCATCAACCACAACTTCATCAATGCGACTAATGCCCACCATGTATTGGAATTCCTGTTGAAGAGGCTGCAGGATGTGAGAGAGGAAATCTCGGATTGTTCAGACATGGACCAGTGGGATTCACAGTGCCAGCTTCTCTTGAAATCCGTTGAGAGCATGGATCTCAAGTATTACTCAACTTCTTTCTCATCCTTGAGGATTGTTATAGACATGTTTCATTGTTGTTAAGTCGCGCTTTATCGTATACCAGGGACATTCAAAAAGTTTCTGGCCAGAGACACTTCCAGTTGTAATACACCATTCTTACTTTTCTCATAAGAAAACAAGATGTCTTTTACGGTGATGGGCAAAATCTAAATTTAATTTTTCGTTGATTGACAACTTATATGAATATTTTCAATGTTCTGCCAAAGGATCTGCTGAAAGGGTATTAAAAGTGAGACGAATGCTGTGATGAATTTTCTAACTTTTAAAGGAGTAGATCTCCCAGCAGATCTTTTAACGGCTGTGAGAATAGCGCCCCACTAACTCTCCACTGAAAGATCTGTTTGGAGATAGACTCCTTCAAATTTAAGACATTCATCACAGCATTTGACTTAATTTTTAATACCCTTTCAGCAGACCCTTTGGTAACACGTTAAAAAAAATTAATGGAAACTGTCCATCATCGGCAAATAAGATTTTAAACAATTTTGCCAGTCACCATTAATGTCATCTGTCTTCCCATGAGAAAAGTAAGAATGGTGTATTGCAACTGGAAGTGTCTGAAACTTTTAAACGCCTCTCATATTTGCTTTAAAATTTCATTGCTTTTTTGTTTTTCTTTTCCCCCTGCCATGTCTTTATAGTGCCATATTATTTTATTAGATTTTTTGGAATGATTATGCGAGTCAGATTTCAATATAACTTGTACAAGAAGATGCATTAAAAAGATTTTAGTCCAAAAATACTTTCGTAGCTCAAGTAGTAACAAAGATAGCCATTTGACCCCCATAGGACCACTTCCCCTCAGGAAGCTAATTTTGGGAGGCATATTTTTGGAATCGTTTGAAATATCATAATTCAAGGAGACCGCCATGCGTGAATTTATTTTTTACATAAATGCCTGCCAAAAGCACAACCAAAATCCCTAAAATTGCTCACCTGAGATGGAATGCCTCTCCAGTCATCCATTACAGAATTCATAATCATGAGTTCTAAAGAAAATTAAAGTTATTGATGCAGCCTGAATAATCCAGACCTATGACGAGGATTCTAGGGTTACACTAAGATACATGTATGTAGTGATGAAGCAGGAATCTCTCTCCTCCATTATAGGGACTATGGGGATTTCTTGAGTTGGATCGCCAAGAGACGGATGGAAGTTCTCCAGGACAAGGTACTGTGTAGCATCCATGGGAGGGTGATCGGGAGGAACCACGCCATGTTTGACCTTCATCGCATCCACTCCATCTTCTCCCGAATGGCTATCACACCTGACACCAGAGAAGTCCTGGATCAAACATTACTCCAGAACATTCATCATCACATCTCCACCTCATGACGTCTCTTCTTTTTTTCCTATTTGTTTCAATGAAATCATCGTATTTGTTCCTTTCAAACTTGAAAGAATACATACTGCGTTCTCTTTTGGAGCCGACTCTCGTGACCTTCGTTCGAATGAATGCAGCCCGCTGAAGGTTATACAGGGCATCCATAAATTATTGAAGGGGGTTCAAAAATGTATATCTTGAAAACTATTGGGAAAAACTTGATCAAATTTGCAGCACACATTGACTAAACACTACAAGATTTTGCTGTGTAAACTTACCCTCAGTAGAGTTCAATGTGGGCACCGTTTTTCGCTCTACACAAAAACAGGTGAAATTCAATCTCCCCATGCATTCTCAAGCCTTTTTGAATTGATTGTTGAATATGCATCTCTTTTTTTTTCCTTTTAAAGCATCCAAACTTGTTACTTTCATCTTGGACACTAGGTCTTTTTTTAATCCCTAATAAATTCTGTAGGAGTCATATTTGGTGATTGGCCATGGGATTGGGCCCTTTCTTATGTGACTAATCCATGGTTTCTTGGAACTGCTTACATCACCTAATTGAACTGTCTCCCAGAGACTGTTTTGAAATAATTTTTTAAAATTTGAATGAGAACCCTTGAATTCCATTCCACAAAGCATGAAACACATTAAGCTTTTTCTTGCACATTGGCCATGACTTGATCGGCTGATGCAATAAATTAACCCTATCTCAATTCCTCTCTCTCTCTCCTCATCGGTCTCAGTCACACAGGAATCAAACGTATATGTAAAAAAACGCATGTCAAGTTACCACCTGCTGCAAATCAATAAATTTATTCCAATTAATTTTCAAGATATACATTTTTAAAACCCCTTCATCAATTTGTGGACACCCTGGACTTTTTTTAATGCAAAAGTTATGCTTTTGCGTGACTTACTCTAGTCCTAATTTCTTTCTTCCATCAAACTGAGATTAATCCCAATATTATATTGCTCTGAGACCAGCAGGAACATGACAATGATTTCCAGATTCGAAGGACCACCCCAAGAATTCCCTTTTTTTTAATTACTGTTACTCTTGCAAGGCATAAGCTCTTCATTTCCTCCATGAGAATGAGGTATGCCTACTGGAAGTTACAGAATGATACGACCGCGTCTTGTTTACTCTTCCTAATTAAGATGTTCAGGTGGTTTAGCGCAAACTCGCATCATGACCGTCACATGAAGAAAGAGCAAGATGGAAACGCGAATCTCCTCTCGACAAAGACACGGCGCAGTAAGCCATGTTCATGCTTTGCCTTCGCTAACGATGCCTCCCTAATTCTAATTTCCCTTGCTTATGAGGACATGACCACACCCCAATCTTCCTCTGCTTTAGTACCGAAGGGTTTCTGACTTCTAGTCCTGTACGTAACGATGTTCGCATTTCACGATATCCCATTCAGAAGAAAAATCCGCTATCGTCAATTTTTTCAGTGAATGAAACCCTTTCTATTCCCTTTAATTGCTCGTGATTCTGGGTCTCGATCACGGCGAATTCCGAATCGTTGGAAAGCTCGCTCCGTCCTATCTGATTTAGTATCAACTGCATGAAATGAATAACCTTGCAAGAGCCTCGATATTACGAAGGGAAGATGAGTTCACCCTTCCCACGCGCTGCTTCTCCGCAGCTCGCCCTTTTTTGGCGAGGTGTATTTAAGCCAAGATGCAACGTAAGCACGGAGAGGCTCCACTTCCACGAATACCGGTCCCCGTAGCCTATGACATGTGGAAACTGCGTAAATAGCCTAGACGACACTAAGTCCCGGATCGACGCGTATTTCGATGCAGATATCTTCTCTCTTCGGTCGGATTTGAGAATCACTCGACGAGTTCGATCGGCCTCGCTGTGATCGTACTGCTGCTTCTGTCCTTCGGTGACACTTCCCAATAAGCTCGGAGTAGTGGTTGAGCCTGATGAAGGTGTGCGACGAGGCTGGGGGCGAGGTTGTGAGCGAGACCGTGAGCGAGGCCGTGAGCGAGGCCGTGAGCGAGGCCGGGAGCGAGGCCGGGAGCGAGGCCGAGAGCGAGGCCGAGAGCGAGGCCGTGAACGAAGCTGTGGCTTTCCCGTGCGGAGTCATCAAGGGATCGAAGGAGAAACCCAGAAAGATGTCGGGCTTCTAAAGATGTGCCTCCCGGGAGATGGGATTCGACAGTTGTTGAGGCGACGGAAGAAAACCGAATCTCGTCGGTCGACGAGCGCAGGCACTTGTAGAAAACACGCAGAACATGGAGAAGACTTGGTGCAGTCTTCTGGTTCTAAATACGCCGGAGCATTAGAAAAGCATGCGACATCGTTACTGGAACCCTATCCAGACGGTGAGAAATTATTTTCCAAGAGGTGGAAGAAAAAATCAGAAAGTGAATGAAATGGGATTAGCACGGAAAAGAGGTAGAAATAGACGTCTGATATAGAAAAGAACTGTTTTATGCCTCAAAAACCTCTGTATTGGAATCGTTACGCGAGTGGGGGAGCCTGAAATCGATGAGAAAATAGTTGGAAAGATTCGCACGGACGAGGCAACCATGCAACAGAGAAATTGAAAAACTATCGCTCCGAGTTGTGGGAATCCATCAAACCGGTCCGGTATGAATGCAAAGATGATGGTATCGATATTAGTCGTCACCGCTGCCGTGAGACGCCGCGTGGAGAAATCCTCGAGGCATGAAAATAAACGAAGACGGAACTAACGATGCCTCGATTTCGCTGCGATTCCGATTCTTGCTCGCCTCGTAGATGCAGAAATAGGTTGAATGCATGCAGAAAGGATCCACGTCCTACTTTTCCTTCCGTGCGGGCTGGTTCCACGTTCCTCGCGTTTCTTTCAGTGCCGTGGACCCACCGGACCCACCGGACCCACCGGACCCAAGTGATCGTTCTTCGACTCCCTCGGCATCTTGCATCCGGTACGATCGGTTCTTCCGGGCCGCTTCGGATTTCACTTTTTCCCATTTCGACTCGACGGGATGGTACCGAAAGCGTCGTACCGCTGCGAATTCCAACTTCGTGCGCGGTGATATTCGGGCGAAACGTTTCCCGCGACCCCGCAGACGAAGCAGGACGGATTCACCTCGCGATCCGGACGATCGTCGTCGCGGTACGGAGTGTTCCAAAAGTCGTTCCGCACCTACTCTTCTCGCTGGCCTTCGGCGAGGCAGACGTCGAAAATCGTTCCCGAGAGGCTTCGGTGCACGGGTCCGACGGCTCTCGCTTCCGAAGACGTTTAGCAGTTCCTGGGGTCGGATGGTCTTCGTTGCGGGACGTAACCGCATCGCACGATTCACGATTCCTGAATCGTGTGAGTGTTTTCCGCACGTAAGCTTACGAAACCCGCCGTTTCGGTTTTCTCCAAAGATAAAAATGAGATTCGATCGAGGCGAGGCGAGCGCGCAGGCCGTGACTCTTTCTAGATCAAAGCGTTCGCGTTTGCTACGTATCGAATTTTCCTCACTCGGATGTTCATCCGAGTGAGGAAAATTCCTTATCACCCTTATCGTGACTATTCTATCGATGTCTATTGATATCCGTTCTTGTCTATTCTGGTCTATTGTACTCTTCCCGTTCCAACGCTTCTCTCTCCTGACCATTCCGACTATCGGACGGGGACTCTGTTTTCTTCCTACCGTGACTATTGCGACTATTGATGTCCGTTCTCGTCTATTCTCGTGCACTGCACTCTTCCCTTTCCGACACTTCCCTCTCCCTCGGATGCGGCAAAGAAGGCGGAAAGACAGGTCTGGGTTGTCAGGTGGGTCGAGTCAGGTGATTCGGGTGAACGGTTTTGTCGTCGACGATGTTCCCCGATGTCCATCGGGGCGTCATCGTGACGTCATCCAGATTTCGACCGTTTCTCGAATGCGATCATCTTTCGGGAGTCGGAAGATGGGGGAAACGGCCACCGACCGACCGATGCACCTCGCGGATGTAGGTTCGGCCAACGTACAAAGTGCCCTACGAATGTGGAATTCTTATTGGGATGAGAGGATCACGTGGATGCTTCGAGGATGTCCGAGGACAATTCTGGGAATTTGCTTTTCGTGCACGTGTGGGTGGTGTGCTCCCACTTACCGACTTCTTCCATCTCCCTATTCCGACCGGTTGACGTGTGAGCATCGTCTTCCTGTCCTCCTCCTCCTCCTCCGCTTCTTCCTCCTCCTCCTCCTCTTCTTCCTCCTCCTCCTCCGCCTCTTCCTTCGCCATTTTACTTCGCTGTAGCAGAAGAAATGACTAGATGGGGTAGGAATGATGGATTTACCTCGATGCATGGGGCCACGGACTTCCGAACTCTCTCGGGCAGATAATGAATATGTATTTGGTTGTTGCCCGAATGCGAGGTATCCACGGGTGAGTGCCACTGGGTCACGATGTCGTCCGTGGATCCTCGTCTATTGGAAACCGTGACGGACGACCGATCCGTTTCCTCCGATCCGATACGGGATGCCCGTTTACATGGAATCCTATTCCTCGCGTTCGTTTCCTTCAATTCGTGATAGTATTGCATACAGATGATGCTGCCGAACGTGGGAGCGATTTCCTCCGACCGACATCCTTACGTTTCGTTCGTTTTGTTTCTTTGCATCGGCCGTCTCGAGTTTCACAGTCGGTGATGCACCTGTTCCAGTGTCGTAGCTGAGATTTCCAGATCCTGATTTCGTTTCGCATTTGGTGGAGATGGGACGTTTCTTCGAAAATCTCGAGCCGCTCCATCGACTCGATTCTTTTATCTCGTGAGAATCTGTACCTTTTTGAAGAGACGGCTGCCCTTTGGGTCTGCTCTTTGTCACCCGGAAATACATTTCCTCCTTCTTTATCCATGCGAGGCCTTTCACCGTTCCTCTAAACCCATTACAGGCATGATGCCTTCCATTGCCAGAATCGTTCGTTTCGAAGGATCCGTCACACCATTCGTTGCATTATTTTTTAACGCAATTGTATCCGCACGAAGTCACTGCGGCTGGTATCTGTCCATGAAATACGGATTGCACGAGGGAGTCTTCCCGTTTGGAATGTGTCTGTGATGGGTCGTTAAATCCCAGTGACACACGATATCGGACCGATATCGGCCCGACG